TGTCTTCATTAATATGCCAAAGACAGTTTAGAGTTGACGCAGATAGCATCTAGTATCAAACTTTAGGGAATGGTCTAATTCCAATTCAAGAATTAATTCATGCAATTCGGACCCATATTATTATTGTTTCTGGCAGCGCCGTAAGGCGTTCCAGCCCACAGAGTACCCCTCATCTATAAGATTATTACACAGTGGAGCACGGAGATCGCCCTGCGTGTGATCCGTGGCTCGCTAACTAGACCGCAGGATAGCCCACTTTTTGCCTTGCTTCGTGGTCATATTTAATGTGGATACATGAAGAGAAATCTCAACCGGGGATTAATAGGTGAGGTAGTGATGGTGGTACCCCTTGTCTGCCAGTGGTGGGTAATATGCTTCTCTCTCTCTCTCTCTCTCTCTCTCTCTCTCTCTCTCTCTCTCTCTCTCTCTCTCTCTCTCTCTCTCTCTCTCTCTCTCTCTCTGCTGGGGGTCCAAGCGGTGTCTGCTGGGGTCCCAGCGGTGTCTGCTGGGGGTCCAAGCGGTGTCTGCTGGAGTGCAAGCGGTGTCTGCTGGGGTCCAGGCCATACAGACAGACCACACGTGACGCTTCGACGTGATCACTCAACATATACACTACACCCAGCAGACCCACAGAAGAAATCACGTCAATGGGCATCTTCTGTTTGTATACTGGCTACAGTTCCTGGTTACGGGAATCGTTTACGGAAACACTTACGAAACCCGTACATCTTTCCTCATGGTGAATTTGTCTGCATTTGCATCACGTTAATGTGATTCCTTCGTGCAATAATAATAAAAATATTGTTAAGGCTATTTATAAAGGAAAATATATACACTGGTTACATTATATTTAAAAACACGGTGTAACAAATTTTGTTTTTTTTATAATAAGGAAGCAAATCAAACACGTCGTTTTGGGGTGCTGCTTATTCAGGCAGGTTACACAAAGAGAAGAATTTTAAAACAAAAAACGTGCCCCAAGGAAATACAGTTTCTCTTAAGCTGCTGTCAGTAATCTCAGTAATATTGGCAAAGATTCTATAACCATTCAGTCGAGGAGAGACTGGTTTAAATGTCAACGCTTACTTAAACTAGTTTCATTATTCTGACATCATTCTTGCCCCCTAAGGGCTGTTCAGCCCTTAGGGGGCAAGAATGAATTCCCTTACTTTTTAAATGTGATGCATACTATTGATTTTCCATTATCGCCAATATACGTGTCACCTCTAATTGGCAGTATTGTGTTTTCAATGTCTATAAAACAATTTATATAGCATGATATAGAATTATCTATATCTTGCTATACAAAAAAAGATGACTTTAAATCAATAAATAATTAACTCGTTTCATACATGTGTAAAGGAAAGTGACGTCGTCACTTATCCGTGACGACGGAGTGGACTAATAATATATAAGGAATGATAAGAGGAATAATAATGTCTAAGTGGTCTCATTTGTCAAGAACACTTAGAAAAAACGGAAGTAGACAATTATTAGTTAAGATTAAGTTTTCTGTTGTCACTTGTGTTTCATTAAGTATCCACGGATGTTCATATTTTATGACCAGACTACGCACTAGAAGGTGAAGGGACGACGACGTTATATATATATATATATATATATATATATATATATATATATATATATATATATATATATATATATATATATATATATATGTGTGTGTGTATATCACGAAAATAAACACGTGATTAAGAATGTGACAATGTCAGACCACGGAGGAAAATGAAACAGGAATTTCCTTAAGTACTTTCGTATATTAAATACATTCCTTCTGAAGATGTATTTAATATACGAAAGTACTTAAGGAAATTCCTGTTTCATTTTCCTCCGTGGTCTGACATTGTCATATATATATATATATATATATATATATATATATATAAATTATATATGTAGAATATTTTATCAGTAGCTTTTAAATGTTAATTTAAATTTAAAGTTTGTGAACATTTTAACAAACCAGCGTAAAAAAAAAAAAAACGCTACGCATTAGATATAAAGCGTACTAGGTACAGAGTGGAGGGAGTTCCTTTGTGTTAACTCGTCGATTAATGTAACATGCAACAACAATTTGCGCACCAAAGGCACTGCATTCGTACCTGCGCGGCTTGCGTCGTCACCACGCCAAGTGCCACAGTCTTGAGATACCCATGGACCTAACAGTGCCTGTGTGCTTGGCACTGGGAGGCCCGAGCAAGAGTACCACAGGAGACAAAGCATTTGGGCCTCCACGATCACACCAGCTGTATCTGTTCTGCTGAAGCTACAGGTTTACATGTTAAAAATACTCGTGGTTCGAGAAGTGATGGTACCTACTTGCTTACGTTGAACGTATATACCCTTCAAGCCTCTCTGACAATTACTGCCGAGATGTTGAAGATATTGGGTGATTGAATCTGACCTCCCAGCGGAGTCTGACCTTCACATTTCACCTTTACTTTGCAGCTGTGGGACTATTAATACCATGCTCCTGTTAGCTGATAACGCTGCTCTTTTCGTTGGTTCTGTGGTATTCTTGAGTGTTGTTTTAGCACGCTGAGGCACAAACTTCTTTAAATACTTTGGGAATTTAGAAAAGTTGAGTCTATGATAATATCCTCAAGAAATACTATGTACTTTAAATAACTCGAGATAATATTTTGTCTTGAAGTTTGCTCATTCATCTTGTCACATCATTATTTGCGTTGTTTGAGACTCTTCAGCCGTGTTAGAGCACAATAAGATGTCTGCAATTGCTATAAGTGAGGCAGAAATCCGTGGTGTAGTGGTAAGACACTCGCCTGGCGTTCCGCGAGCGCTATGTCATGGGTTCGTATCCTGGCCGGGGAGGATTTACTGGACGCAATTCCTTAACTGTAGCCTCTGTTTAACGCAACAGTAAAATGTGTACTTGGTTGAAAAAAACGATTTTTCGCGGCAGGGGATCGTATTCCAGGGACCTGCCCGAAAAGCTACGCGTACTAGTGGCTGTACAAGAATGTAACAACTCTTGTATATATCTCAAAACAAAAAAAAATCCATTTCTACAATAGTTAAGAAACTTGAGTATAACGTAGCAGTTGTGGAATAACGGCAGAGTGACGGTCTCGCTTCATGCATCAGCGTTCAATCCCCGACCGTTTGCTGTTGTTGTTATAGATTCAGCTACTCGGAACAAGTTCCAAGTACCACGGGCTATGATGAGCCCGTAACTTACCTGGCACTGGAGCGGCACAGGAGCGGAGCCCCTCAACCGTCAAAGATTGTTGATGAAGACTAAGCCACCCAAGAGGTGGCACGGGCATGAGTAAGACCGTCCAAGTGGTTGGGCACCATTTATTCCCCCCGTCCTATCCAAAACACTTATCCTGATCCCTTCTAAGTGCTATATAGTAGTTATGTCGCTTTCTCCTGATTCACGGGAGACATCTCCCGTCACGCAGGGTGCAGTCGCACCTCCACAGATCTCCATTATCAGCTCTTGATACTGGTAATGGCTCAAAAGAGCCACCACTTACGGGCTATTCATGCCCGTGCCATCTTTTGGATGGCTTAATCTTCATCAATCAATTTTCTCCTGATTGGCAAGTTACAGCCCGCTTCTGTCCCAGGTAAGTCCACTACGGGCTCACCATAGCCCGTGCTGCTTGGAAATTTTTGTTGGTCCAAGCAGCTGAATCTAAAACAACAACAACAATTTCTCTTGATAATTCTCTTCCCTTCCCCTGTAAAATTAATGTTTCCAAGCTCTTGCCTCTTTATCAATATTATTGTGATGTTAGTGGACGGGATACACGGCGGCTAAATCAAAGAAAGCAATGGTTCGCCCTAAATGGAAATGAATGTGACGGGTGAGTGGGGCACCACAAGGTTATATCTTGGGGCCAACTCTTTTTTGTTTTGTCAAATACATAAGTGACATAGAGGAGAATATTACTAGCCACATCATCAAATTTGCAGATAGCACTAAGATTTAAAGATAAAGTAGCAAGCGAAAACTATACTGAGGCCTCACAAAGAGATTTATTTGAACTCCATAAATGGCCAGAAGACTGGCAAATTCTTTTTAATATTGAAAAATACAAAAACTTGCAAGTAAGATATAATAATGCACATCACAACTATCATAATACTGTATAAATGATTTGACTACATGTATAGGTTGTATAACCTCTTTAGTACACTTATGAGTTTTGGTTCATAATTCATTGTGTCGAGGGACAGACAGCCAATGTATATAATCCATAATAATTCATTGTGTCGAGGAACAGGCAGCCAGTTTATACATACAGTGCATGTTATATCGAGGTCCCACCCCCCGCCCCACGGGGTCGAATTACTGACTATCCCCAGGATGTAACCCTACATCAAGCTGACTAACTCCTGGGTACCTATTTACTGCTAGGTGGACAGAAGCATGAGGTGATAGGAAACGCGCCAGCCATTTCTGTCCCGCCCGGGATTAAAACCTGGAATTCTCGATTGTGAGTCGAGAACAAACCCGACTGTACTTCTTCCTTCCGGAACAAGTGCTTCACTGACGAATTTTGTTCGAACCACAACGCTGTAAATGCTTCACCCACGTACTACAAATGCAAATAATCGTCAACAGAAACTAAACACCTAACCTAACTTATGCCTATATATGCACAATATGCTTATATATTATAATATTAATTTATATTTGAGAAAATTCCCGTTTTGAATGAACAGGATGTTAAAATTTATGAATGCGTCTGTGGGGTCGACCGCTGGATGTAATGGACTTGAGTCGAGGACGGGTTATCAAATACAGATAATCGCCAACAGACCCTAAACACCTAACCTAACGTAACCTACGCCTAACTATACAAAAAAAAATATGTATTATAATATTCATTTATATATGAGAACAAACCAATTCTTAATACACTGTTAAAATTGATGAATGCATCTAGGGAGGACGGTCGCTGTTTTAAACAGCCTAGTGTGAGGGCGGGTTGGGTTCCCGGACATACTGCACTCGCACACATGACGGTGACTTTGTTTTTTGTTTGGCTGGCTGCTTCTGGTGGGCCCCTGTTGCTGCCTCCGGTGGGCCCCTGTTGCTGCCTCCGGTGGGCCCCTGTTGCTGCCTCTGGTGGGCCCCTGTTGCTGCCTCTGGTGGGCCCCTTCTGCTGCCTCCGGTGGGCCCCTGTTGCTGCCTCTGGTGGGCCCCTTCTGCTGCCTCCGGTGGGCCCCTGTTGCTGCCTCCGGTGGGCCCCTGCTGCTGCCTCCTGTGGGCCCCTGTTGCTGCCTCCGGTGGGCCCCTGTTGCTGCCTCTGGTGGGCCCCTGTTGCTGCCTCCGGTGGACCCCTGTTGCTGCCTCCGGTGGGCCCCTGTTGCTGCCTCGCCGGAGGCTAAGTGGTGTTGATCTTGGTGAGGGTGTTGCTTGACTATTTCTTCCAGCTTATCCTGGAGTGCAGCGCTCTGGTGGTTGATTACATGTTTACATGCGATAGCTGCATTTTTCTTCGTTGACGATAAAGTTTTAATTTATAGGTACTAAGTATACATTGGAGCTGGTGGTTGCAATTTTCTTTCCCGTTTGGTAAATTACTTAACATTCTTTGCCTTGGATAATTTTTCCTGTGGATACATCTCCTTGTCCTGAGAGGTTGCCCTTGTATCACATAATTTGAAGCGCTGTGAATTACCAATGGTTGTTCTCTGCTTGGTAGGTACATTATCTTCATTTTGTACAGTTGTTTTACGGAGAGGCTATGTCAGTGTTTGTCCCTTGGTCCCAGAAGCCTCGTATGGGGATCATCAGTGCTTGCTCCGTCGATGAGTACAAGCTACAAATCGTAATGAGCCCGTAATGATTTGTAGCGTGGAACTCTGTAATTTTTGTCATGTTAGTTTTTTTGTTTAAATTGAGTAAATGGACACTTAATTGCCTAGTTAGCATTTCTAAGAGGCCTAAATAGTATTTATAAGCAGCATAATTAGCATTTCTAAGAGTCCTAATTAGCCTTTCTAATTAGCATTTCTAAGAGGCCTACTTATCATTTTATGCAAGTTTCATGTGCGGATGAGTTGGGTTGAATCGATAAAGTTCCGTTAATTATGCTTTGGAAATGGCTGTTTACTTGTTAATGTGATCAGTGGAGTTAAATAATCTGGAAGTTTCTTAACCTAATTTTACGTTAAGAGTTCTGAACAGGTATCAAGGTACCATTAATATTAGTGGCTACAAGCGAGCCAGCGAAGCAACCAACTGAACAGTTTTTAGTTTAGTTCATTTATTGTGCACCCCATACCCATCTTGTGGGCGGTAGTAGAAAGGGTTACAGAGGCACCGGTACATAATGGGCTCAGGGGCCAACCCTAATTTTATATATATATATATATATATATATATATATATATATATATATATATATATATATATATATATATATATATATATATATATATATATATATATATATATATATAAATTAATATAGATACCCCGGGAGTTAGGCAACTATTATTGAGTAGCATCTTGGGAAGGGTCAGTAGTTCGACTTAAGGAGGACCTCGATGTAATCCTAAACTACACAAAAATATATATAGACAAAACTAATGAATGAAATTACAGATTGGAGAACAAGAGTGTGAATACAGTGGTCCCTGCTTGCTAGTCTCGGGTTCATTTTCAGTTTGATCTCGTGCGTTTTCTATGGGTGTACAGCGTAAACTAAAATCTCCTTGTAAACTCTGTGTCCTTTCCAGTAGCAGGTGCAAGATTCTTTCGTTATTTAGTTCACAACTGTACAATGAAATGGCGGTTTTAACTAACATTTGACTACTTACCTCTTGTTCTCACTGCGATGTCGCAACGATACCTGGGCTCATAATACTGGCCAGACATAAGCAACGAGCCGAGGGAAGCCGTTCTCCAACCAAGATGGGCCCCTTGGTTAGGACACTTCAATGTTAGGTGTGAGATGTTGTATACTGCTTCCTGGTGAGTACAGAGTATTGTGACGTGAGGTCCTTTAAAGAATGATATATGAGATGCTTTAACTTAACGGTATGTTTTGCTGAATAAGGCGTGAAATTCTTCGATGAATATGACATGAGACGTCACTGATACTACGTACCTTACTCCGCCTTGGTAACTCTGTATTATTCACTCTTCTGTCCATATCTCACTTATGGTATCTGCTCCTGGGGATTTGCAATATAAAATTACCCTCGACACATAACTACTCAACTTTAATCACCAATTAAAGCAGTCCCCGTGACGAGGTGGTGAAACACTCGCCCGACGCTTCGCAAGCGATTTGGCCTGGGTTCGTATCCTAGCCAGGGAGGATTCATTGGGTGCCAATCCTTAACTGTAGCTTCTGTTCACCCAGCAATGAATAAGTACCTGGCTGTTAAACGATTTTAAGGGTCGTATTCCAGGGAAAATTAGAATTATAAGGACCTGCCCGAAAGGCTATGCGTGCTAGTTACTTCGCATGAGTATAAGAACTCTTGTATATATAAATAAATACAAATAAGAACAGTAACAAACTCTAATCACAGACAGAATTCAACCCACTTCCTATTTTTTTTTTTTTGAGATATATACAAGAGTTGTTACATTCTTGTACAGCCACTAGTACGCGTAGCATTTCGGGCAGGTCCTTGGAATACGATCCCTGACGCGAAGAATCGTTTGAATATCTTTGAATATGCTAAATAATCGTCATATCTTTGAATATGCTAAATAATCGTCATATCTTTGAATATGCTAAATAATCGTCATATCTTTGAATATGCTAAATATCGTCACTGAACACTTTCAAGTGTACTCAATATTTATACAATTCTGAAGTAGAACACTAATCCTGATCTCAGATAATAATAATAATAATAATAATAATAATAATAATTTTTATTTAGGTAAAGGTACATACATAAAGAGATTTTACAAAGTTTGTTGGCTTTATAGATAGAGCTAGTACATACAATGCCTAAAGCCACTATTACGCAAAGCGTTTCGGGCAGATGTTTACTAGAGTGGTAACACCTTCGTCCTCTCCTCCTTGCGAGTGATTTGTCTAGCTTAGAGTCCTGACCAGGGAGCATTAACAGAGCGTCAGTCCTTAACTGTTCGCCCCCCACCCCCACCCCAACCACTTGGCCAGAACGGTAGACCGACGGTCTCGCTTCATGCAGGTCGGTGTTCAATCATCGACCGTCCAAGTGGTTAGGCACCATTCCTTCCCTCCCCTGTCCCATTCCAAGTCCTTATCCTGACCCCTTCCCAGTGCTATATAGTTGTAATTTCTTGGAGCTTTCTACTGATAATTTCCTACCCTTCTGTTCATCCAGAAATAAATAGGTTGTTGGGTGAACAGCAACCCGCCAAACGGTTGATTTTATAACCGTTTGGCGGGTTGTGTTCTAGGGAAAGCTAGAGGGTGAAGCGTACCATGAGATATGGGAAGGGACAACTCTCACACTGCTAACAGGAGTCAGAACTCGTCTGTTCCATCTCCAACAGAACTCGTCAGAACACACTCAACATGGGTTAAACGAAGACATGAACACCTCATATGTGTTTAACGAAGGCATACACACCTCATATATGTTAAACAAAGCCATACGCATCACCCATATAGACTAAACAAAGACATAAACCCACAAACATGTTGAACGTAAAGCGCGTTGAAACATATACACACAGACATAAAAAAAAAACTAAAAAAAAAAAATCCATAGCAGAATGAAATTTGTCGGTGCTCAACCAAAGGTCAAAGGGATGTTTGCAGCTGACAGATCTCTGGGGCAGGCCAGGCCCGTCTGATTCACTTCCATCCGTTCTCCTCTCGATTTATTTTTACATCTACATTTCACAATATATATTTTCGAGGATCCACAAGGTCTTCTCTGAGTACTCATTATTTTCTTCTCCGAGGCTATGGGTCCCTACACTTGCACCAGAGGTGGTATTTTCAAATCAACATAAAAGTTTTAAAAAATGAAATATAGTGAAGAGGAAGAAACTGTAGCAATGCAATAAAATTAAATAAAACAAAAATTAATAACAAATAAGAATAGGGGTGGTAGGAGAGGAAAAGATTAAAGCGTTCAGTGAGACTCCACAAGGTCTTCTCTGAATACTCTTTATTGTCTTCTTCGAGGCTGTGGGTCCCTACAATTGCACCAGAGAGGTGGTACCCATATATATATATATATATATATATATATATATATATATATATATATATATATATATATATATATATATATATATATATATATATATATATATATATATATATATATATATATACACATATATACATATATACATATATATATATATATATATATATATATATATATATATATATATGTCGTACCTAGTAGCCAGAACGCACTTCTCAGCCTACTATGCAAGGCCCGATTTGCCTAATAAGCCAAGTTTTCATGAATTAATGTTTTTTCGACTACCTAACCTACCTAACCTAACCTAACCTAACTTTTTCTGCTACCTAACCGAACCTAACCTATAAAGATAGGTTAGGTTAGGTTAGGTAGGGTTGGTTAGGTTCGGTCATATATCTACGTTAATTTTAACTCCATTAAAAAAAATTGACCTCATACATAATGAAATGGGTAGCTTTATCATTTCATAAGAAAAAAATTAGAAAAAATATATAAATTCATGAAAACTTGACTTATTAGGCAAATCGGGCCTGGCATAGTAGGCTGAGAAGTGCGTTCTGGCTACTAGGTACGACATATATATATATATATACATATATACATATATATATATATATATATATATATATATATATATATATATATATATATATATATATGTATATATGTATATATGTATATATATATATATATATCAAACTGAAAACTCACACCCCAGAAGTGACTCGAACCCATACTCCCAGAAGCAACGCATCTGGTATGTACAAGACGCCTTAATCCACTTGACCATCACGACCGGACATAATGAGGTGATAGCCGAGGCTATTTGAACCACCCCACCACAGCGGTGGGGTGGTTCACATAGCCTCGGCTATCACCTCATTATGTCCGGTCGTGATGGTCAAGTGGATTAAGGCGTCTTGTACATACCAGATGCGTTGCTTCTGGGAGTATGGGTTCGAGTCACTTCTGGGGTGTGAGTTTTCAGTTGCATATGTCCTGGGGACCATTCAGGCTTGTTCGCATATATATATATATATATATATATATATATATATATATATATATATATATATATATATATATATATATACACACAAATATATATATATACACAAATATATACAAATAAACTAAGAGGTGTATATGAACTGAAAGTATATTTTAGTTTGTGTTATTTTAAGAACAAAATTATTTTGCTGGATGGTCAGTAAGCTGGTTTGGTGACCTTAAAAACCCTCCCACGGTCTTAAGCTTAACACCATTATAAAAGGTTAAGGCTGATCAATACGTGCTTTAGATTGAATTCATTCCATTCAAATCTCTGAATGGAATTCCGGCATAATACCAACATATTTTGCATTATTTTTTTATTTAGCGATAGTTTAATTTGGGCTAAAGAAAAGAGGTGGCTTGTAAATGGCTTCATTAATGTTTGTGGAAAACTAGTTATTTTAAAATTAGAAAAGTTTCAATTACATATTTCAGCATTTTACAGATTGTTTACAATCAAATTATGATTTTAAAGAAAAATTGCATTAAAGTTGTTTACTTGTAGATCAAATGCAGTTCTCAATCTACTCATATGGAGAATGACTTACATAATTGTATTAAATCAATCATGAAGGTTTTTATCGAGGTATACACAAGTCATATTATCAGTCTGTTGTTGTTGTTAAACATTCGCTACCTGGGCCAAAAAGTTCCAAGTAGCACGGGCTATGGTGAGCCCGTAGTGCCTTGTTTATCAGTCTGAGAGAGAGAGACACGTCACACACACACACCAGGGTAGAATATAAGCAGCGCTGGAGTGTAGATTTGACCAGTGCAAGGGAGGCGGTTCACAGGAGCAAGAGAAGTGGTGCAACCAGTGCAAGGGAGGCGGAGCAGCCAGAGCAAGGTAGGATTCTAATACTTTTACACCAGGTGCCCGATTACTGCTGGATGAACAGGGATTAATAGTTAAGCTTATGTGCATCCCATATTTCCCCTTGTAGTAGTAACCTAAACTCATTACAGAGAGGATAAGTCTTAATCAGACTCCTGTGGATGTTTGCTTAATGTTGAGTTTTATCATTTTTATGAACACTATATTCAATTGTATCTCCATTGCTGCTATCAGTGTAGCTGCGCTGGAACTGTTATGTATTCTGTGTATTATTATTATGCATGAAGTATTCAACTGGAATATTATTCATTGAAGACACGTCATTTATGTAACACTTTACATAATTTTCAAGGGTGAATATTACAAGGAAACAGATGTATTGTTATTATTCTCAATGGTTATGAGTAATCTTGTTTACCACTCACCGTTAAAATAAATGGATTATAATTTTATGCAACGGTGAATTCACCTGATAATGGATTAAGTGTGTTTTACTCATTGTTTACTTCAGTTTTTCAAGCTTTTCTAAAAAACAGCTTTATTTAGTAGCGGAATTGATAGAGCCAAACGAGTTAGTGTGCTGCAAGGGCACTCCTGTCTACATGAACGGGTTGGTAAAGTAGCAGCCTGGCTTAATGAAGGATTTGCGCTCGATTCCCCGATAATCCAAGCGGTTGGACACCGTTTCTTCTCTCAATCCTTATATCCTGTCTCATATCCAATATAGTCGTACTGGCTTTTTCTTGTTAATTGCCCTAATTTATCTTACAAGTGAAACGAGGATGATCAGTAGTTAGAATCAATAATGTACAGACGGGGAGTCACAATAACGTGGCTGAAATATGTTGACCAAACCACACACTAGAAAGTGAAGGGACGACGACATTTCGGTCCGTCTTGGATCATTCTCAAGTCGATTCTCACAATCGACTTGAGAATGTTCCAGGACGGACCGAAACGTCGTCGTCGTCCCTTCAGTTTCTAGTGTGTGGTTTGGTCACTCAATAATGAAACTTTAAACAAACATGAAATATATATTTTGTTTTATTTCAGAATAACCAAATTATTCTACAAATGTTGGGGATGAGGTGGTGGGTGTTGGTGAGCGTGGGAGTGTTTGTGGTGGTGTGGAGACCTGGACCTTGTCATGCTGAGGAATCAAAGGGTCTGTTCGGTTCCATCATCGACCACTTTTCTAAGTGAGTCTCTTAGCCTCTCAAAGTGTGATCATGTGCTTGAAGTCTAGCCCATTCTGGTCTGGCTCACGATGTCACAGCCAAACCACTTGGGCTGGACGGTAGAGCGACGGTCTCGCTTCATGCAAGTCAGCGTTCAATTCCCGACCGTCGAAGTGGTTGGGCACCACTCGTTCCCTCCCTCGTCCCATCCCAAAATCCTTATCCTGACCCCTTCCCAGTGCTATATAGTCGTAATGACTTGGCGCTTTCCCCCTGATAGTTCCCTTCACGATGTCACATATGACATATTGAACCAATCAACTGGAGCTCTGAGGTGACTCGAACTCCAGTTGATTTTCTAATTGTGTATGTGTATGATTGTATGACTTATCTGTGTATATGACATATTAATAATAGCAACTGTCCTGTTTTGTATATTAAGTTACAAGCACCGATTAACATGTTTCATTCACTTCTACCACACATTGCAAATACAGTAAAATCCTGCCCTCCCACCCCACTGTGTGCCTCGTGTATTTGCAAAATACAATACATCTTGTATTCAAGGGTCTCAAGCCATTCCATATATTACCCATCATCAAACCGTACTCGTACAAGCTGCGGCTAGTTGTAAATAACTATATTTTCTAAAATGTAATTTATTATTAATAAATATTTTATATTATAGTTTAGAGCAAAGTTAGGTCTACACTAGGTTAGGTTAGGAGTTATGTATCATTGGCAATTAATTATATTTAGTAAACTTTGAACTAAAGGAGAACCATACCAATATTTTGGCCTGTACCAACAATGCATTATGTTTTGAAAACGATGCTTTAAATAGTCGATACTACGATACCGATATTAATCATTTTTTTATGAACTTATTCAGACAAAAAATTGTTTTTTTATGTATTAGTCTCAGAGTTTGTAAACAATAACACTGTAAATTAGTAATATTAAATAATATATATCAATAATCACAACAAAACTATTCCTATCGAGTCGAGGCAATGAAACTTAAATAGATACTGATTTATAACGCTTAAATAGAAAAATCCAAATCTATTTTGCATAGTTACCAAGTTTTGGCAACCCTTCCTCCTGAAATGATAGTACTTATAGTAACTGTTTGGTGGAAGGTACCAATATGTAGTGATGGACCGCCAGTAAACCACCTATTGATGTTATAGAGTACGGAAAAAATAAGGCTAAAACCAAACTTAACTATTCTTAGGCCTAGTATAGCACATACATGTACTATGCAGGCGATGAGTCACAATAACGTGGCTAAAGTATGTTGACCAGACCACACACTAAAAGGTGAAGGGACGACGACGTTCCGGTCCGTCCTGGACCATTCTCAAGTCGATTGTCGATAGGGTACATGTACTATATTAGGCCTAAGATAGCATGTATTAGGCCTAGGATTGCTAGGAGAGGCTAGGTTGGGTCTGATACCTATGTTGTGGTTAAAAAGGTTTCTGTTTTGTCCAAATTTAGCTATACAAAAGTCAACTTTCTGGTGGTCCATCACGACATATGGGTACTGTTGATCACATGGTTACTAAAAGTATTTTCATGTTAGGAGGATGGACTGATTTATAGGGTAGTTCGGGTCGAGATGGCTCAACCACTTGGGCTAAACGGTAGAGCAACGGTCTCGCTTCATGCTGATCGGTGTTCAATCCCCGACCGTCCAAGTGGTTAGGCGCCATTCCTTCCCCCATCCGTCCTTATCTTTTCTTATTTAAGCTCCATGATGGATGGAATATGTTTGTGAAACAAAAGAATATTTTTTTTTTACAAATAATTCTTGCTTTTGCGATGATTTATTATTGTTAATTAAAATGTTAAAGAGATAAACAATTTTCATGTCCCAGCTTCTGGAAAAACGGAGAGATGGAGTTCATGGGCCAAATCTGCCGCTACAGTTACAGTCCAAAATTCCAGAACTGGGGACTCACCTACTCGGGTAAAATGTGGTGTCCTGGGTGGGCTCCCTTCGCCGGCAACTGTAAGTATCCCACAGTCGATGGACTGACAAGTGTGTGTGTGTGTGTCCCGGAGGGAACACACCCAACCGTCCAACCCAACCACATGGGCTGGACGGTAGAGCGACGGTCTCGCTTCATGCAGGTCGGCGTTCAATCCCGACCGCCCAAGTGGTTGGGCACCATTCCTTTTCCCCATCCCATCCCAAAGCCTTATCCTAACCCCTTCGAAGTGCTATGTAGCAGTAATGACTAGGAGCTTTATCCTGATAGTTCCCTCCCTTTGCAAAATTTACGTGATATCCCGTTTTCTATTCGTGGGTCCTGGGTTAGGTTCGGTTCGGGCAATTTAGAACATCAATTTAGTTACGTTGGGAAAGCTCAAGAAGACGGCTTGGCTTCATGCATTTTAGTACCACTTATTTTGCGCGTTGTGGTAAATTAAGAAAAACGGGCTGGTTTAAGGTTTAAGGATTTATGCATAATAATAATATACATATTATTATTATTATGCATAAATATAGCATAAATATAGCATATATATAGCATAAATAGCATATTGTATTTTGAATGAATAAATGAAAAATAAATTTATCCCTAACAGCCAGAACTTTGAGTCGGGCTGGCGCCATAGAGAATGCCACGAAGGATTTCGTCAGGAAAGCCGTCGATCACGGCCTAATTACTGCAGAGGAAGCTTCAGTCTGGCTTCAGTAATTAGCAGTCGTTTCTGGACCTGAAGTCTCTACAAGTATTAACTATCTAACGTATCTGGGATTGGTCCTCAGCTGATGCCAACGACCTTATTATCTCTCCTGGTTTAACTATTGTCTTCAAATGTATGTATTGATGTTTCTTTATATTATAATTGTTCTTATATTTTATCGAAAATTTAATTAATAACTACATTAAAAGAAAGCAAAACAATGAATTTGCTGTTTTTGTTCGCTTAAAACACCACACTCATTATAACCAATGAAGACTACAAATATTGAATGTTTTTTTTTCATTACTTACGGTTGGGGCACCATTCCTTTCCCACCGTCCCATCCCAAATCCTTATCCTAGGAGACCCCTTCCCTTTGCTATATAGTCGTAATGGCTTGGCATTTTCTCCTTGATAATTCCTTCCTTTCCACCAGCAGGAAGCAGGAATTATTGCTTGCACATTGTGTTCGAGTGTGTGAATGTTTGCGTGCAGGCATTCAAGCGTTTAGATGTGTGGGAATGTTTGCTTACATGCTTCTTTGTGATCGCTCTCATGCAAGCATACATATGTGTGAGTGAGTGTTTACGTGCAGGCATGCAGAAGTAAGAATTTTTGCGTGCAGGCATACAAATGTATGAATGTTTGCTTCAACCGCCTATTACGACCTTTGTGCCGTAGTTCAGTTTAATTGATATTATAAATTCCATTATCTAATGGGGTAAGGGAACAAGCAGTGCGTAGTGTTGGTCTTTTTATTGTGTTCTAACATAATTTACACTTCATGTACAATCACATACATTTTTTTTTTTACAAACATTATTTTCATCGTGGTAAGATGAAGTAATCTTTGTCCAACAACATTGTATTCATCATAGTTACCCATCATTATAGCATTCATAAGCATAATATTCATCCTAGCGACCTATCAACACAGTAATTATCCGAGTTACCTATCAGCATAGTATTCATAGCAACAGTATTCATCATAGCTATGTATGAACATAATATCCATCATAGTTATGTATGAACATGATAATCGTGATAACTACCCATGAGCATAGTATTCATCATGGCTATGTATGAACATAATGTCCATCATAGACATATATGAACTTGATATCCATAATAGCTACCCATGAGCATAGTATTCATCATAGCTATGCATGATCATGATATCCATCATACCTACCCATGAGCATAGTATTCATCATAACTACCCATGAGCATATTATTCATCATAACTACCCATCAAGTGGGGGGGAGGGTCTCACAATAAAATGCGCTTGGAGGATTACTACTTTAAACCATGTTAACTACTGAAGCTTTTAAAATATTCACCCTTAGTCATATGTGACAATTTTCTCCATTAATTCACTCCTGATAGTCCTGATAGTCCTGATAGTCCTGATAATCCTGATAGTCCTGATAATTCCAAATCCTTTTTCACATGTGAACTCAAAATACTTTATATTGTTTAGTAGTTAAATAGTCTTTCTATTTTCATTTGAAAGGCTTATAACATCAGGATTGGCTACCTTGAAGTTACCTTGAGGTGCTTCCGGGGCTTAACATCCCCGCGGCCCGATCGTCAACCAGACCTCCTGGTTGCTAGGCTGGTCAACCAGGCTGTTGGACGCGGCTGCACGCAGCCTGACGTAAGAATCACAGCCTGATTGATCAGGTACACCAAACTGCGTTTCCCAGTTTTTAATATTGAAAATCTTCGTCTGATGTCACTGTAAGCTGTAATTTGAGTGTCTTAAACAAATATAGTTATATTGTAGTTCCCTACTTTATGTATATACTTTACGTATATGACTTTATGGATAGTCAACTGTCCAATATAGTCAACTGTCCAATATAGTCAACTGTCCAATATAGTCAACTGTCCAATATAGTCAACTGTCCAATATATTCAACTGTCCAATATATTCAACTGTCCAATATATTCAACTGTCCAATATATTCAACTGTCCAATATAGTCAACTGTCCAATATATTCAACTGTCCAATATATTCAACTGTCCAATATAGTCAACTGTCCAATATAGTCAACTGTACAATATAGTCTACTGTCCAATATAGTCAACTGTCCAATATAGTAAACTGTCCAATATAGTAAACTGTTCAATATACTCAACTGTCCAATATAATCAACTGACCAGTGCAATAGTCGTCGATGGAAGAGCTCTAGGAAGAAGAGTATCAGTAAAGGCATCACAGTCATCTCTACACGGTGAACAAAGCGAAACCTGCAGAAGCACAATAAAGATTTTCCTGCTTTCCTTCCTTTAGTACAAGCAGTGAAAGCTATACTATAGGCACTATAGTGCGCCTATAGCCCAAATACCCACTCAAGCCTACATACCACAACACAACTAGCATGCATCATTTACAGATAACTCAAAATAAGCGAAAACAAAGAGTAACCAAACACAAGCACTCACAAGAGCTGCATGAAGTCTTTAGCATTCAGTGTGTAAACTCTAAGCCTACGATTAAAGCAAGATCCTACTCTAACCTCACTCAGCAAGATCCTACTCTAACCTCACTCAGCAAGATCCTACTCTAACCTCACTCAGCAAGATCCTACTCTAACCTCACTCAGCAAGATCCTACTCTAACCTCACTCAGCAAGATCCTACTCTAACCTCGCTCAGCAAGATCCTACTCTAACCTCACTCAGCAAGATCCTACTCTAACCTCACTCAGCAAGATCCTACTCTAACCTTACTCAGCAAGATCCTGCTCTAACAGTTGCCTAATTCCCGGGTGCCTATTTACTGTTAGGTGAACAGAGGCATCAGGTGAAATGAGACGAAGCACGAGACCTTCGATTTGGGAGTCAAGAACGTAGACTACTGTACAACAGGAATCATATGTTACATGCTCACTGATGTTCAGTGATGTTCACTGGTGTTCACTGATGTTCACTGGTGTTCACTGGTGATCACAATATGTCCGTGTCTTATTGTCATATGTTCGTGTCTTATTGTAATATGTTCGTGTCTTACTGTAATATGTTCGTGTCTTATTGTAATATGTTCGTGTCTTATTGTAATATGTTCGTGTCTTACTGTAATATGTTCGTGTCTTACTGTAATATGTTCGTGTCTTAATGTAATATGTCCGTGTCTTACTGTAATATGTCCGTGTCTTACTGTAATATGTCCGTGTCTTAATGTAATATGTCCGTGTCTTACTGTAATATGTCCGTGTCTTAATGTAATATGTCCGCGCCTTACTGTAATATGTCCGTGCCTTACTGTAATATGTCCGCGGCTTACTGTAATATGTCCGTGCCTTACTGTAATATGTCCGTGTCTTACTCTAATATGTCCGTGCCTTACTGTAATGTATACGTAGTTTACAGTAATGCATACGTGGTTTACTCTAATATGTCCGTGCCTTACTGTAATGTATTCGTGTTTTACTGTAATATATCCTTGCCTTATTATAATGTATTCGTGTCTTACTGTAACTGGTCCTAGCTTCATTAGTGCGTATTTTTGCCCTACTTGTGCATGTCCGTGGCCTGCTAGTATGTGTCCGTGACCTGCTAGTTTGTGTCCGTGGCCTGCTAGTATGTGTCCGTGGCCTGCTAGTATGTGTTCGTGTGTTACTAGTATGTGTTCGTGTGTTACTAGTATGTGTCCGTGGCCTGCTAGTATGTGTCCGTGGCCGGCTAGTGTGTGTCCGTGGCCTGCTAGTATGTGTTCGTGTGTTATTAGTATGTGTCCGTGTGTTACTAGAATGTGTTCGTGTGTTACTAGTATGTGTCCGTGTCCTACTAGTATGTGTCCGTGTCTCCCTGGTATGGGGTCCAAGGTTGTTACAATGTGTATCTCATTGCACAGTGTCCACGTCCTAATAAAAACAAATTGAATCCGTGTCTCTGCTGCAGAATGTTCGTGTCTGTCTGCCGTGTTCTCAGTTTAGAATCCGGATCCCAAAAATGTCTTCATGATATCGGTTTTCTTCCTGAAAAACAAAAGATGATAACTGATTATATCCGAAATGGAAATAATAATAATAAATATTAATACAAAATAATTATAATAATCTTGGTGATAACGTTAGTAAGTTCCTGGAGCCAGATTCATGAAAGCACTTACGCAAACACTTACGAACCTGTACATCTTTTCTCAATCTTTGGCGGCTTTGTTTACAATTATTAAACAGTTAAGGAGCTCCGAAGCACCAGGGAGGTTGTTTATAACAATAACAACAGTTGAATTGGAAGTTTTCATGCTTGTAAACTGTTTAATAAATGTAACCAAAGGCGTCAAAAATTGAGGAAAGATGTACACGTTCGTAAGTGCTTGCGTAACTGCTTCGTGAATCTGGCCCCTGTTCCAGGAAAAAATAAATGAACAAAGCCGTCAAAGATTGAGGAAAGATGTACACGTTCGTAAGTGCTTGCGTAAATGCTTCGTGAATCTGGCCCCTGTTCCAGGAAAAAATAAATGAAAATATCGGCTTCCTCAACGAAGAACTAACACCATCTCGTAAAGCTGCATAAGAAAAATCTAATATATATTCTAGCAATCAACCCTTAGACAGTAGTTATAGCTCCTCTAAGGGGAAAATAATAACAATTAGGGGTCAGTAAGAAGCGCCTTCCACTTCTGATTTTCTGAATATCAGATCAGTTGAGGTAAAGCTTTTGCCTCTGGCCAACAGAGGGCTCTGGAGTCAGAGGCTATGAGGTTGAAATTTCCCAGCTACTTAGTGCCCTCAGAACCACGACGAGGAGAGTATGTTGTCTGCCTTCTGCTCACTATAGGCCTCAGATTCCCCGCCTCGGCACTTTAGCAAACTGGAAATTCGTGAATTTTTCATTGATGTTAGTGATGATTATATTATTAGTGACGACAATAGGATCTCCTTGAGGGTACTTGTGGAAATAGTGGACAATACAAAGATAGATGGAACAGCACGTCCCTTGTGATGATGACGTGGTGTCATGTCATGTCATGTCATGTTATGGAAGCAAGTTATGACAGCTGTGATTATACCAACATCGCGGGAACTAATCTCGCCACGCGCATAGTAAGGTAATTATTTTTGTATTACTATTTATTCGTGATGTCCAAAGGATTTTTGATAACTTTATATGAATTAAATATTAATTTCATAACATTTTAAAGGTGGGGGGGGAGGGGAGGATTACAGAGGATCTCAAGAGGCTAAATTGGGTCCCGGTAGTACAGTCGGGCTCATTCTCAACTCACAGCCGGTAACTCCGGGTTCGAGTCCCGAATGGAACAGTAATCGTCGTAAGCGTTTCCTATCACCTAATGCCTATGCTCACCTAGTCAGCTTGTTGTGGGGGATGCATCCTGGGAAGGGTCAGTAGTTTGACCTTGGGGGGGGGGAGAAGGGGGTACCTTGATATAAACCTAACATGTATATATACAGTGGCTGCCTGTCCCTCGACAAAATTATTAAATTCGTTTTATCGCTCCATAAACTGTACGAGCTAGAAACTTCCAGGTAGTGATTACAGCACACGGGAGAATAGCCTAAAACCTTGAACAGGAAAAAAAGAGCAAGGTTTTACTCTAAGGAAAAAGAGTAAGAATAACATTAGGAGAAAGCGGTTAGTTAACATATACAATACAATTTTATTTAGGTAAGGTACATACATACAATAAATTTATACAAGGATTGGTTGACTTATAGGTAGAGCTAGTACATACAATGCCTAAAGCAACTATTACGCAAAGCGTTTCGGGCATCGATTTTATGACTTTACTTTACTTCAACATGACTTTATCACTGCTGTAGCTGTTTTAGATTCAACTACTCACAACAAAGGAACATGCCTAAGCCACCCAAGATGTAGCACGGGAATGAATAGCCCGTAAGTGGTAGATTTTTTGGGGGAGTGAATGTGGGATCTTCGATCGAGTGGTCTCTCACCTGAAGCTTGGATAGGAAAGCGAGCGCCTGGTCCTGGGTGAGGCGGGAGTTCTGTTGTAGTATGGCGGCCAGTGTGTTCTGGACGTCCTGGGCCATGGCGTCGCTGCCACACACGTAGACGTGCCCGCCTTGCTCCAGCAGGTGCCTTTGTACCTCCTTTCCGTACATCACCAACAAATCTTGCACGTACATCTGTCCGCACGTACACTCGAATTAGCATGATATGCACAACATCAGCAAGCCACATAACTTATCAGAAACATGGGTCCTAGTTGAAGTAAGACTCGTGTATAAGAAAGATATTCCATATTAGCAACGTTTACCTCTAACAAGATATTTTAACATATGAGACACACAGCAGAATACAATGGGAAGGTGAAAGGCAAACTGAAGCTGTCTCTGTCAATATAAGGCAAACTGAAGCTGTCTCTGTCAATATAAGGCAAACCGAAGCTGTCTCTGTCAATATAAGGCAAACTGAAGCTGTCTCTGTCAATATAAGGCAAACTGAAGCTGTCTCTGTCAATATAAGGCAAACTGAAGCTGTCTCTTGTCAATATAAGGCAAACCGAAGCTGTCTCTGTCAATATAAGGCAAACTGAAGCTGTCTCTGTCAATATAAGGCAAACCGAAGCTGTCTCTGTCAATATACGGCAAACCGAACCTGTCTCTGTCAATATAAGGCAAACAGAAGCTGTCTCTGTCAATATAAGGCAAATGGTCAGCAGCTAACGATCCAACCCGTCTTCTCGCCTAATACAGTACATTGTTAACGGAACTGACCAAACCGCTAATAAGTGCGACGTACGAGTAAATATCTAAGCACCATGTTGCATTATGTTGCTTTAATTGTTACTAGGTACACAATTTAGCATTACTTACAATGCTCTTCATATATTGTGATGCCTCACATCAAAAACACTTACTGTATATGATTTCGCACATGTTTAGGAGAACAACTGAACCATTGGCTACTGGTGGACAGCAGTGTTGTATTGTAAACACGTTTCATGAAAGCTCTAGTCTATTATATAATATATAAGTTGCGTGAAGAAAGGCAGGCATCGGTGTTTCATACATACATAAAGCACTGTACCTTGGGCACTGTCGGTTGTCTGGAGAGGGCCAAGTGTATCCTGCTGATGGTCCCAGAGCGGATCATAGTCCACTTCTCGTCATCGTACAGGTCCTCAGCGTTGGTCCTGCAGCCGTAGTACAGCACCAGCTCTGGCAACTCTCCTGACAGAAACCCTGTCATTAATATCCTGTCACTGATGTCTCCTCCTAGTCTTGTTAATCTCGCAATATTGTAGCATAAATCTAGTTCTCCCGACACTCTAATATTGCACATAATGTTAATACACCACCTTGATAATGGTTCAAAACGGATCTTGATAATGGTCCAAGACGGACCTTGGAAATGGTCCAGGGCGGACCTAGAGAACATGAAAGTATATCTGTTCAAGCACTCTTACTGTAACTTTTACTCTTCAATTATGCATGACTAATACGACCATTGGTAGCATATTGATACTAACATTACATGACACCAGTATAATACCCCTTGGATAATAAGAGCACTTGCATAATCAAAGGGAGGCCCTAAAGAAAGTAATTAAACCAACCTGTTCTCACGTTTAATGCCCTGCAGTTCAGACGCTAATGATCGTAGCGTGAAAATCCCTGATCTATAGTGAAATTAAAAGCACCGTTTCTCGAACTAATTTAGTACTCTTTTGGTTAGAGGCAAAACCACTGTAATTTTAAACGCTTCTTAAATCGTGTGAATGAGTTGTCTAAAAAGGCACTGTTTGATGTTAGGTTATTAAGGCCGCCACCAGTGCTTACTGACCAACCAGCAAGTACACTTTAGTCCTGAACATAGTACAGAGCTAAAGTAAACTCTCAGTGTATCCACACCGAGGAGCTGGGCACACCTAAGAGGTACTTAAATTCTTCGATCCAAATATGAGAGCACCCTGTGGCTCTGTAAGGCTTATAAATAATAAATACATCTGAAATTCACCTGAGTTGGATTTGACAATCCAAACATTAATATTTTGGTATCGTTTATTATCTTATATAAGAGTTCCTGAAATCGAAGACAACGTGCAAGTCTTAAGATGCCAAGTGGAATGTTTTCTATAGTCTAGATTGCAATTTTATTTTTGAGGAGGGGGGGGGAGGAAACTGAAAGCAAAACCTCCAAGGTCATTTGGATTCCATCACAAACGTCACGCGGGATGCCCCATACTCCTTGGCCAATATTTTGGCCTCAAAAGTTAAAAAAATTATAAAACTATCAACTTCACAACATTTCTAACAACGCAGCATCATTTTATGTGAACTATACTATATTGCATTGACGTCGACCATCGCATATCATGTCTCATTGATGCATACGTGTGAGATGGTAAGTCTTCCTCGTAAGTTATGTTACTGAAGCCCTAAATGAGTTACCCGAGAATGTATATGCGAGAATACGTTGTCATACAAAGCTAAGATCATTATCAGCAGAACGCGGTAAGCCATTATGACTGCTGAGCACTTAAAAGGGACACGGGGGACAAGGAGCTAGAATATGAAAATGGGATGAAAGAACGGTATTCAACCACTTGGATCATTGGGTATCGAATACCGACCCTGTATTATACAAGACCCTGTATTATACACCGACCAGTTAATACAAAGCTAAGAAGTATTCGGATAGCAAGTCACAATAACGTGACTGAAAATTAGACATCTAATTAATACATCTGAAAATAAAGGTGGTGACGACGTTTCGGTCCGTCTAGGACCATTGTCACACGACTTGACGCTGGTCCAGAACAGACCGAAACGTTGTCACTTCCTTTATTTTCCGATGTTCGGGTTGTGGGAGTCTAAGAGGTATTGCATTTTGTGAGTCACCTTACTTGTATTATATTTCTAAGTCTCTAAAGTTACCTTTTCCTTCTGTTTTTTTGTGGTGGTAGTGTTGCCAGAAGCCTCTGAAGGGCGCGATTCCGCTGCCAGCTGCTACCATCATCACTGGTACTGTAGGGTCGCTCGGCATGTGGAAGTTGGTAGCACTGAAAATTATACAAATCAGACGATCATAGAACAAAAGCCAACTACACTATGACTGAAGTATACAAATATATATAAGTTTATAACGAGGATAGTAAGAGGGTGCAAAATATATACACACAAAATAAAATACAAAACAATTTATACAAACTTAAAAATAAATATATATTTAGAAAAAACCTGTAAAAACATTATAGACGTTGGATCTCAGGATTGTAGTTTCCTCTGCTTTTATGGTCTTAACTAGAGACCAGGGCATTCCAAGAGACATTAACCCCCCCCCCCCATAACAGACCATGACCAAGGATAGTTAACAAGACTATGACCAAGGATAGTTAACAAGACTATGACCATCGCCAGGAGTAGATCAACAAGAGACCTAGTGACCAAGACTGAAGGACAGGTCAACAATAGACTCCTGGCGAGTGGTAGCTAAGGCTCTCTCTCACCCTCACAAGACTCACCTTCTGTGGAAGAGTTCGAGACTTCCCCCGGCTTTGTTCTTCTTCAAGAACCCTGTAGCGACGCCCTGGTGCACGGCGCCTGCTCCTCCTGCAGGAAAGGCAGACCTCACTCAAGACAATTGTGGTAACAAGTGATACTAATTAAGATGCTGTACCACCTGGCTTTATCCCACGACAGCTAATATATCATCTTGTGTCCTTGTGCCTCTAAACTTTACCCCAGGAAACTGGTAGCGAAGTTAGATATTCAACATAACTTGAAAAAAGTTTATATATTTTGTAAGCGTGCAAGTGGTAACACGTTGGCCTTGTGGGTTCTTAGGCCGAGTGCTACAATATAATTCAGAAGAGGGTTGTATGGAAACCGCAATGTCGCTTGGTAATTGTTTAGCTTATGTAATGGTATAGTCGCATCACGTGACGTCACTATGATATGACACCACATGACGTCACTATGATATGACACCACATAACGACACTATAATATGACACCACATAACGTCACCATGATATGACACCACATGACGTCACTATGATATGACACCACATGACGTCACTATGATACAGACGTAAAATTTATCTTCCAATGTATTTCACATAATTTACAATTACGTTATAATATTTTACTGAAGCGAGAACACGGCCGGGGGGCGAGACAAGGATTTGAACTTGAAGGATTAAAATTGAAGAGACTGTACTTGAAGGATGTGAATAACTATAGATAACCGCTAACTTTATTTATAAACAAATACTGTATTTAAGAATGACATAAATATCACTTATATACAGTTTAGGATCAGGCTAATTTTGTCATGAAAAAATCAACTATTTCCTATGCACAACTCCATATCGAATTTATGAATACACATTGTGTTCTAATATGTCATATGTTGGATCATTTAAGATATCGATAACCTTACCTCTAGTGCGGTATTGGAGGCCAGAGACAGTGAGGTGCAGGAGGCCAGGGTGGAGGTCGGGAGAGGTGCTGATGGAGTAGTACCTTGGCTGGAGGAGAGGCAGGGCACTCAGCACAACTCCGGCCTCCACCTTTACGCTGGGGAACTCCTCCAGGACCTCCAGCAGGTGCGGGAATTGCCATGACCTCCACTGGCGGTACTCCTTCTGGTCCTGATGGAAACAAAACAGCCAACAACTTGAGTACAAGGAATAATCGTAGAAGAAAACTTGAAAGTCCATATACTTGTAGCTTGACTTCTTGCACTAAAGTTCTAAGCTGAACTTCTAAAACAAGCGTTTTTAAAAATACCGAAGGTCCACAATAATCTTAGCAGACAGGTTTAAGTTAACCAATATATCTTCCAAAATTAATGAACACAATTTATTGACAATAGGAACAGATCAAATGACACATGACCTAGAAACATGACACGAAGGGCATCGTCCTGGGTCAGAGGAGACAGCCCGGTCAATAGGTATAGGAAGAAGTGATCAAATGAGGGGCATTAGAAATGATAAAGCTGAATAATTAAGTGAACAAAAGGTAAAGCAAATTACACAAACGAACATTGACAAGAAGACACAGACTCAAGTTAACTTTTGCGTCTACAGAGAAAAATAATTATAGCCGTTACAAAGCCTTGGATTAGTGCAGCTCCACTAAATTTAATGTCAAATTAGTATATATAAAAGGCTAAACAGTATTTAGCACTATCTTTGTTAGAAAGGGTATGAAATATACTAAAAATTAAGGTAAACATCTGATAAATACTTTCAAAGTTAAACTACAATCTCTCATTAAACATCACAAGAAAAAGTAATGAGAACATACACATTGTGTATGAAAAATGTGAATTTTCATACACAATGTGTATGAAAAGGGAAGGATCGCTTTATAAGCGTTCCTTGATGCAGCAGTGCCAGTAGCGCAAACCGGCCCATACAGGGCAGGTGTATTACTAGTGGTTGGGCATCATTCTTTCACCCCATACCAGCACCACAACTCATTGTCCCCATATCTCTTCCAAGTGCTATATAGTCATACTGGCCCAGCTCATGGAGACTGAGTGATGAAGATTAAGCCACCCTAGAGGTGGCACGGGCATGAATAGACTAATGCAACTGATGCAACTAATGCATCTTCGTAACGCAAGATGCAACTGAGAGACTTGTGGAATACCGAGGCGAGCTGGGTGAGGCGGCAAGCCTGGCGGTTGTTTGTGGCGTGGGCGGCCAGGAGGGCGAGGAAGGCGGGCGAGGGCGGCGTGGTGATGTCCAGGAAGCGAGACAGGAGGCTGCGGATGCTGGCCACGGGCAGGTGAGGGTGATGCTCCCAGCACACTCCTGTCGCAGGAGATACATCTCTCACTCTCTTGATAGTCACACACACACATAATATATATATATATATATATATATATATATATATATATATATATATATATGTTCCTAGCTGGGTTTGGGGAGTAGAAAAACTCCCGAAACCCTCTCAAGGTACGCTCCAGGTATAGCTGTCTATCTGTCTCTGCTATATATGCACAATGTAAGGATAGTAACATTGTGTCCTGAAAAATATAATGTTCTGACAAATGAAGTTAAAATCTGACCGATTTGGGCTTTTAAACCTAAAACCCAAATACTTCTTGTGATTTTCTATAAGTTCACCTGTGATATTCTGACAACCAAACCTACTTGAGGACACACACACGAACCAATTTCTGTACACCTGTCTCATCCTCTCAGCTCTGTGCACCGCTGCTATCTGTATACTATTGAACACCATAAATGTCCGTCACTATTTAAAACTTCGTGATAACCGCAGAAACCTGCTAATTCCAAGGAACCAATTTAGCGCCTACTTCTGGAAACCTTCCAAGTACTTCTCGGCACCTGGGACGCATTTCTTACCTTTGTTTTCCTAATGAAATCACTCCTCCTGCGTACTACACTACAGCTGCCACTACAGCCAACACAACATGTACTTCCTTAGCAATCAAGTTTATGTATGACCACCTGACTCTCAGCACTATCTGTGAACCCCTGATACCGCTTTTATCTGCAGATACTCGTGAAACAATTTTCTGGTGTCCCAGGAGATTACTGAACCAACCTTCTGGTGTCCCAGGAGATTCCTGAACCAATCTATTAGTGTTCTACGAGACTCATGAACCAACGTTCTAGTTCCTTGGAAAACCTGTGAACCAACCAACTTTGTATCTAAGGAAGCTTGTGGGCTCTGTGAACCAGCCTACGTGTAGTGTCCACCTACCTGTGGAACCCTGTCGACGTTGGAGGAGGATCTGAATGGGAATGTCTACATCAGGACAGCGGTGAAGTCGAGCGATGAGGGCCGTCACCATAGCCGGGCTGTTGGCGGGCAGGAGCCCGACGTGATCCCCGGGCTGGTACTTCATCCCGCCACCCTCACTCACATCCACTACCACCATCTGCGTCCACCTGCAGGACGACGCACACAGTAAGAGGAGGTAGTCGTCCTTATACCGAGGTATACCGAGAAGCTGAATATATATCTATTACACTGAAACTTTACTTCGGTTCAGAGCTAAAGTAAACTTGCTGGTTGATCAGTAAACAATTGTCGAGGCTCAAAGCTGATAATCAACTGTTTCTTTCAAGAGCTATAAGTGAGTCAGTAGCTTTTAATTGAATATTTGACAAACTAAATGCAAACGTTAATGCTGATGGAGAGGTTTATAAGAAGATCCTCATAAGAAGATAATCTCCACCGTCTGGAACTAGCAAAGCCTAAATGTAAACATATTTTGTTTCAGAGAAGATCCCCTGATCGTAAAAGAAGCTTACTTCTTTATCCTGGAGAGTTAATGACCTAACAAATAAATCTCAAATATTGTCTATAAAACACAATTCTCTCATTGAAAACTAACTTGGTCCTAGTACAAAATTCCTCTCCTAAAAATTGTATATATTTGTGCCTACCATAAACCCCCAGATTTTCATATTGATCTTTATTCATCCTTCTCAAATATCCAGTATTTACATACAGAAACACTCCAGCATTACCGCTTTTTGGATAACAATATCTGCGCATCATTTTCAGTGGTCATTAACTCACCTGTCCCACTTAAACCTTACCTGTCTCCTTCCTCGTGTAAAATCTTTGTCTCCAGCACCGGGAAACTTTGAATCTTCTTGCCGTGAACTTGGGACAGACCTGGAATATGTGTAACATCTGTACAAACTGAAACTTAATGATTTGCTTTACTGTTTTTATTAATTTGTTTGGATAAGTACTGCGCCTTACAAGTGATATTGAGCCTGTTTATAGTAACTCGCAGAGAGAAGATCGACACATTTGATTGGTTAAGCACATTGAAACATTTATGGCTAATTGGTGCACACTCCCATTGATGGTGAAGCTGCTTCTTGTGACAGTGAATTAGTGAATAATTCAAATGATTGTGAAGAGATTATTGTGAAGCCACATTGATTGATCGATGATGATGTGTGAGCGATACAGACAAAAAAGGAAGATGAATAATGACTGCCGAATTTTCAGAGAGTGCGATATAGTGATAATTGATGATAAGACACTGAAAGTGAGGGTCGCTTATGATGAATATTAATGACACGTATATGGTGAAAAAGCAGTGTGTTGCATGTTATCAAGAGATTAACTGAGGAAGAGTGAAGGGGCACATTCAAAGACGGACGCAAACATTTTCCATGTCACAAAGAGAACATGGGACTTTGAACATGGTCCCTTGGTTGAATTCCTGACTTTTGTAGTGAATAGGTCAGTTTCATTCTAATCATGATATTAAATCTCATCGAGCAACCCATTTCCTCAGGATATAGTCTAGTCTTCACAGTTGGGACGATAAAGTAGAAAATAGAAAGGAACCAACATTGTAACAAAGCTGTTTGGTAGATTGTGATATCAGAAGTCTGATGACCACACCACACATCACTGTGTGTAGAAACTACAACGTTTCGGTTCCTCCCGAACCATTATCAACTCGTATGTGTGAAGGATAGATGAAATTGTTTATGTAATAATCTAAGATGTGGTCTGATAGAGACCTTTTGTACCCTCTGTAATGTTTTTGCGCTACCGCTCACAGGATGAGTATGGGGTGCACAATAAACTAGCCGCCTTCGGCGGCAACAATCAAAAATCAAATCAATCGTATAACCGAAGCGTCGTCATTTCTTAACTTTTTGATGCGTGGTTTGATCATAATATCTTCAGCCACGTTATTGTGACTCATACTCTGCATCTCACAGGTTTTTATCGAAACTACGTTTTGGCTCGAGTGGACTTACAGTGACTCGTTTCAGAAAAGTAACAATCACAGATAAAGCTCCTGTCTACATGAAAATGTTTAGATAGCATGATTTTGGGAATTATACAACTCTGGTGGAAGAACAGACATTTAAGGAGTAAAACAGACGTAACGGCCACTGCAATAGAAAGCTACAGTTCGATCGGTCAATCGAGAGAGAGAGAGAGAGAGAGAGAGAGAGAGAGAGAGAGAGAGAGAGAGAGAGAGAGAGAGAGAGAGAGAGAGAGAGAGAGAGAGAGAGACTGACGGACAGATAGACAGTCAGACAGACAATATTACTCACCTTGTGCCAGGGACGTGTGGTGTATGGCAGGTGACAGTTTGACAGCATCGGCAGTAAGCTCCTCGATCCTGAGGGTGGTATCTTGACAGTCCTCGGCACCAAACTCCTCAGCCGCCGCCTGGTACAACACAATGTTGCGGTTAATTACAACTTTCCTTGTTAACACTACTCATAGCCCAGTCGATAGAGCTTTGGCCTCACACGCGTGGGGTCCGCGGTTCGAAACTCCTACAGCCCATGTGAATGGATCGTAGTTTATTGCCCGTCGGCCTAGATAAATATTGTTAAAGTGTGTTGGGTAATTATCTAATATTTCAGCCTATTATGCTAACTAATAATTACATTTGCTTTGTTTTTTCTTATCCTCCACAGGGTGTATGTGACAAAAGTACTCACCTAGTTGCGCTTGCGGGGGTTGAGCTCTGGCTCTTTGGTCCCGCTTCTCAACTGCCAATCAAATGTGAGCGTGTATGAGTGGTTATGCTTAGGTTCGTCACCTGTAGAGCATGCATGTGGAGGTTGAGTTACTGAGTGATGCTACCTGGAACACCTGAATGAGGTGGGTGTGAGAGGCATATGTTTCTAACACAGATGTGTTAGTGCTAGTGGCTAGTGGCTGCGCGTGCTAGTGGCTTTACAAGACTGTAATTACCATAATTGTATCCTCACATTCCTTATGTACATTCTTGTATATGCATAAATAAATAAATAAATAAATGTGCAGTCCCAACAAACACACAATGTAACTACAACATTTGTTTATGTAAGAGTAATAAAGTTGCAGCAAAGTTGCGTTTAATTTGATGAGTCGTTATTGAGCTTCCATAGAGCGTACTTTAGATCAAGTGTTTAGGATGTGGCATTCACTAACTGTAGGTACTTGTCCACAACTGTGCAGCTTAAAATGAGAATATGTATTACCAACTGTGCCTACTTTAAAACATCTGTGAGGACGTGAAGTCATAACTGGCCACTAACTGTATTAATATAAGAAGCTTCAATACTAACATACGTATTAACATAAGAAGCTTCAATACTAACATACGTATTAATATAAGAAGCTTCAATACTAACTGTATTGAAGCTCACTGTATTCAACAAGTCAGTCACTTAAGTGACTGAATTGGTTTGTATTTTATGCCTTGCCTGCCTTAAACACCCTTGTGGATCAGATTAGGATGATGTACTACCAGCTGTGCCTACCTTGAAAACCTGTGCAGACCAGGTGTTGAAGGCTTGTTCTTGGTTGTCAAGGTCATCACCACAAGCCAATTTCAGAATACAGTCACCACCTGACAGCTGTAGAAGGTGATCCACGTACTTGCCGAAGGCACAGAAATGTTTGTAGTTGCTTGACCCCAGGGCAAAGACTGCGTACCTGACACCAAAAAATCATTCAACTTCCGTCTGAATTTGTAATACCCAAGAAGTATCCTAGTATTAAGAGTTTAAAATGTTATCCTTAATAGAATAGTAATGTTATCTCTTAGGCTGCACAAAACGTCTATTGACGTGATTCAGTACGTATGAGCACAGTACGATTTGCATCAGTAAACACTCGCATTTAAATAATTATAAGGAATTTAATTCTGCATATACACTCTTTAACCCTTAAAAGGCGCAGCAATTTAAAAGTACTATAGGGAGGTGCACATGATTAAAAAATAGTTAAGAAATCAAATGAAAAAAAGTTGCCTATGGGGATTGGATTGGAGAAGATAATTGAAAATACCAATCGAAGCAGTGCAAGGGTTAACACTAGAAAAACTCTAATTTTATAACTAATAAATAACTAAGGAAAATTCATTTATATTATATTTAAAGTCATTAATTAGATGATTTTCAGAACGTATTGCATCGTAGAGCTCGAATATATCGCTCGCAAAAAAACTATAATGAACACATTTGTTTCTCTTCAGACAGAAAGAAAACATAGTAATGCTTTAACGTTAAAGGCTAATTTCAGCGCCTGAGATTGATATAAAAAATAAAATTAATGTGAAATTTGTTATATCCCAGGTACAATACAGAAACTTTATTAATTATGTTTCTTTTCCGTTTACTCGTAGTTTTAACTCATTTGTAAAGAATATAATCGGTCAATAATTTTTTGTCTGAATATTTAAAAATGCGCATATTGACTTAACCACTAGACTTTAACTGAACAACCAAAGAGTAATAAGAACGCCACACAATAACTAACATTGAGAAATTCAACCACGATTTATATATTACACGGGCTGCTGTGAAGAGGTGTACAATCATAGTATAAGCCTATAATGTCCAATAGGAGATTATACATAACCAAAGCACTACACATGAAACACTCTTCCAGCTGTCACCAGCCAGCCCTCAGGTACGTCGTACCATTAACAAGACTAAGACCAAAACACCTACTTGAAGCTGACGGAGGTGGCCGGGGTGGAGGTGCGCCTCACCAGGTCCTGCTGGGGTCCCTGACGTAGTCCCAACATGCGCAGGAAACTGCTGAAACCGTTCATCATCTTGTGGTCGTTCTCCTTCATCTTCGGGTTGGTTGTCATTTCTTCAAGTACAGAGCTGGTGGTAGTGCTGGCAGGAAGGTGAATGTACTCGTGACTTCATGTAAGTTTCATTAAAACACACACTCATACACACTCATACACACGAAAATATGTATAAACACACATAGAATAAACATGCACCCAGTTAAATAAACAAAAACAAAAATCACATTAAGATGCTTCGAATGTGAATAATAATACCAAATATTTTTTTTCTAGATACTAGATATTTACTATATTTTTTTTAATGGACACATCACCAGACTACTTAAATGTAGTTAATACATAATACTTACATTTTGAAACTGTTGTAGTCTTCCTGGAAGGATAACCTACAGAAAATAATAAAAATTGTGCTTTATTTACATATGCTAACAATCGAAGGAGATATAGTGCCAGAATTTTTTTTAACTACTGGGATCAGCTGCCATGCAATTAGCAATCTCTGGGGTTTCCATTACTTTTTTTATACGTGTTTCCAATCGGTTCCGATTGGAAATGAAAGTCTAGCGGTTTCTATCCGAGTTTAGCGGTTCCTCGTGGTGTCTAGCGGTTCCTAGTGAAGTCTTGCGGTTTCTATTTGAGTTTAGCGGTTTTCTAGAACTAGGGAGGACCTTGATAGCCTATCAGGGACATATTGCCTCCTCCTTTGGAAACCTGGAAACATTCATTCGTCTTCAGTAAGCAGGTCTCGATGATTGTTTTGTCTCTATAAAGGTTATATTCTCTTGGTGTTTTTAACTAATTATGGTTTTTAGAAGTCTCTGAACTTATTTTTTATAGCAAATTTGTTGCTAAGATGTTTGTCCTTTTTGTTTGTTTAATTTTGAATTAAATTAATTTTTTAACTAAAATATTATCATAAGGCTAATGCTGCAAGACTGATGGCGAATATACGAATCTTAGATGAAGTTAAAACAGCGCTACAAATGTATTGATCTTGTGGTCGGGTGTCGTAAGAGTGTAGGTAATGTTTTCATGATCTTATGTGGCTCTTTATTCCACAAACATTTTCCTGTTAGAAGAAACTATAATTAAGTTTGACGGGATTTTTTAGTTTAACTTAAGTTTAAGTTAACTTACAGTTTAAGTTAACTCCTAAATTGTGCAGATATTTAAAACTTCTACATCGAGGCGTGTCAACTAAAAATAGTTAACAAATCAAATGGAACAGAATCCCATTTGGTGATTGGAGCACAGGAGGAAATTTCAGTTAAGTATTCAATATAGTAAACATGGGTTGATAAGCTCAGTCTCCCACTAAATATATGAGCATTATACTGAGGAAACCATACAACAAAATTTACAAATATCAGCACCAACAATTAATGAAATATAATTTAAATAATTTTAATAATACACATAATATTCAGTGACTGCATAAATGTATATACAACAAAACATTGAAAGATAGTTTACTAACTTTTGAACATTGGTGTTCCCAGAGTTAAGCTCTTCCTTAATGTTGTACAAAGTCTTGACGAACTCCTGCGGACAGTAAAGAGAATCAGAGGAAGGTCAAAGCTGAAGCTAACTAAATCGTAAGCTTATACGTAAATATGACTAGAAAAAATGTTTTACTCCAATTACCTCGAACTAAATATATTTGGATGGCCGGACCAGGGGCTAGATTCACGAAGAAGTTACGCAGACACTTACGAACCTGTACATCTTTTCTCAATCTTTGGTGGCTTTGTTTACAATTATTAAACAGTTAATGAGCTCCGAAGCACCAGGAGGCTGTTTATATCAATAACAATAGTTGATTGGCAAGTTTTCAGGCTTGCAAACTGTTTCAATTATGTAAACAAAGCCATCAAAGATTGAGGAAAGATGTACACGTTCGTAAGTACTTGCGTAACTGCTTCGTGAATCTGGCCCCAGGAGCTAACGCTCAACCCTGCAAACATATTTAGGCATATACACAGAAAACTAGAAAGATCTGGTTAATCATAACCCCAAACTTGGTGTCTTCAATACAAATTAGCAAAATAAAGTCTGCAGCATTCAGGAACATATAAAATATCAAGCAGCTTTCAGGCACATACTTAGAGAGACCTTCAGAACATTATAAAGATCCTACGTAAGACCAACACTAAAATAAGCAGCCCCGGTCTGGAGGGCAACGTAAAAAAAATAATAATAAAGTAGACAATTTAGAAATCCTCAACAAAACGTGTCCCAGAACATCACCTTCACCTACTTAACTCACAGCATTCAGCCGTTTTGGGGTTTGGTATTTGGCTTAAGGCTTATTAACCGTTGGAGGGTTACTAAGGCCATCACAATAACTTTGTGGCCAATTAGAAAATATACCTTTATTGTGAACATAGTCCAGGACTAAAGTACACCTCTTAGTGTATATAAACTGAGAAATTAACATATGTGTATATATATATATATATATATATATATATATATATATATATATATATATATATATATATATATATATATATTAGATTGTGTGGTATTTGTCTCATAAGCTCTCATATTACCCGGGAAGCTCCAACGCTAGCTTCCCCTGGATTTTTTACCTCTACAAATATTACCAAGGTACTGGAACGAGTCTGGGGCAAGGATATAGTCAATCTTCCGTGGCTAATTACTGCCTATTTTACTCTAAACTAACTTCCCTATGACGAGATACAATCCAAAAATCTTATTAAATATTTGCCGTACATTAGAGGTGGAATAAGAAAATAGTACAAAACGAAATAAAAAAAATAGCGAATATAATACCATTTACATTTGCGTGAAACAATCATTACTCGAACGACAGTGTGGCTCTCTCAAGAATCCGAACAACCGTTTGGCAACGTTGACCTCCGAGTGGACCCCGACGCCCTCACCTCGATGGGTGAGAAGTCACCATCATATTCGCAACACAAGCGGACGTCGGCAACACTTCTTTTGTGCGAGTTGCAAGCAAGTGCAAGGGCCATCAAGAAGAGGTACTCGAAGCGAACTCAACAAGCAACATACGGAAATATAAAAAGGAAGGTAAGTCATTGCATTAACTAATTGGGGGGAGGAGGGGTTAGGAAAGTTGGCGGGGGGAGGTATAGACCTATAATGCTCCTCCTCTGCAAGCACGTGTATGTGAGAGCGCTTGCGCGCACGTAATCGCACGCACATATCCACACAGAGGATCTCGTGATCTATTGGTCAGCGTTCGCGACTGACACTCGAGAGACCCGGGTTTGATTCCCGGCCGAGACAAAAATAACTGGATAGTTTCCTTCCACTGGATGACTGTTTACCTAGAAGTGAATAGGTACCTGGAAATTCCCAGGTACCTATTTACTATATATAATAATTATGTGTTTGTTTTTGCGTTTTAGAGAGAGATATATTTAGTAGATATGAAAGTAGACAGGTAAGGAGTCAGTATATTAGACAAGCGACGGCTAGAATGGCGTGGGGTCAAAGAGATAATAGCTCGCTCGTGCAGGAACAACTGACGAATACAAATAAGTGAGTACACACACACACACACACGTACCCAAACTCCCAGAAATACACTCACGAACAAACAACAACATACCACATACAAACATGCACACAGAGTCACAAAGTGCTAACTACACCTCCTTGACATGTTACAATAGATTGCCTGCGTCATCTCCGCTTTTCCCCACCACCACCACCACTTCCTCCCCCACCCATCTGACCAATAAGTGGGAATTCACTTGATTCTTTCCTTCTTCTTCGTCCCTTCATCCACTTACCTGACCGTTTTGTGGAGGTTCCCCTGCGCCTGTAGTGGCGGCCACCACCAGCAGGAGACCTTCGCCCGATAACGCAGCTTTGCTCACCTCGTAGTCTGCCATAGACAGTACCTGTAGGGACAGAGGTCGTGCTCTCACAGCTTTTATTTACTGAAGGTGGACAGCAGCAGGGAAAGCACATTTAGAGGAAAAGTTTGTTTTTGGAAAAGGCGATGTGAACCGAGATTAATGTGTAATAGCAAACAGTAATTGAAGTAGGAATGGATTATAATCCACGAAGACGATTCAGAGAAAAATCGTCGTTTGTGTAGGGGAAGAAAGACAAAGTGGTAAAATTGCAAACGAAAGGGAACAGAAGAAAATGCGAAGTGAGGACACAGTGAAAGACAATAGAAAAGACAAAAAGCTATAATTACAAGGACGAGACGGGACTGCATTACAGGCAAGGAAAATATATAGCAGGTCATCTTAACTCTGGAGGCTATCGATCTTTCTTTGATCATAAAATAGGTCTTATTAGATAAAAACAAAAATCTCATCTTGGTGATCTTGACTAAAATATATACTAACGTCTTGGAAGTTGCTAATGTATAATATATATATATATATATATATATAGTATGCCAATTTTCTTTGCAACTTCTCACATCCGACATATAAAGCCTGCAACAGGAGCTAATAAAAGAAAACGAAAAAGTCCCAATAACTCTTCCATGTATGCGATGTTTTAACAGCATTCTTAAATGCTTAAATGCTGGAAGGACTGCAACTATTTGTCATATAGGACTTGTGTTGTTACGAGGTGAAGGTAACATACACTTGCGTGCACCACGAATGATACTGAAGCATCTACCTTGGGTTTGAAGTTCCGTTTGAAGACTTCAGAGAGACTCTTGGCGTAAAGCTGGGACTTGCCAGTCTCTGTGGCGTACACGATGGTCACGTGAACCCGCCTGTTGAGGGCCGCGCTGTAGAGGGTACTGGCGAACAGTACACTCCTGCCAGAAATGACGAGTTATTTAAGTAATATATATATACAAATGTAATTAATAACAGAATACAGTTAAAATGTTAATTATTACTATTAATATGTGACTTTTTTGAGAGAGAGTTGAGTATATATCCCCAGTCTGTTTCTAGCTAGTCTGAAGAGATAAGCTTTACATCCGTTGTGAAATATGTAACTCTAATAAAGGGGTTATGGTTAGGTTATATTTAGACAAACACTGTTATTCTCCACTGGGAGTGGCATGTCGAAGGGAAAAATGTATAAAATCCAGCAGTCGTAATATTTGTACTGGGCCTCCTCAGCATGTATTAACGTCAGGAGGTCATGTGTTATTTTGTAAATTTTGCAGCTTTGGGAGCCAACTGCCGCTGCCTCTATACCAAATTTGCAGTTTCAAGCTTCAAATACTGCGCTACAATCTGGGCTAAATATGGCCAGGCACGCCGGGCAAAGGTCATAGAGATGATTCTAATTCAGATGATATTCAGCTCCAAAAATGGTCACTCTCCAACAAAACGCGCCGTTATGAAAATACTTATGAGTAGCTAAATTATTAAAAAAAATACGTTTGGCTTATAAAGGATTTACAGTGTATATGGAATAAACTGCTCTCTGCCCCTCCAGCACTATGTTATGGTCAGTCGGGCAACGTTTATACAATTTACTTCAACATATTCATATATTATAAATATGCCCTATTCGAGATGTTTTTCTAATAATTAACAATTCGGTAAAATATATGACAGATTGTTACGGACCTTCAGATTCAGCCAGTAAGAGTTTAACATGTAATTATATAACTAATTAAATTAGTACCAGAGAAGGTGGCTTGTAATAAATCTCATGCGATCTGTCATAGAATGCACCGTTACTAGAAGCAATCAGACAGTGATGAGCATCAGATTGGTCTATAAGAAGTTTGTTTTTATATTTCTGCCACTGAGTACTCAGAGATACATAAGTGAATCAAGCCCTTATCGAGAAAAATTCAAACTAAGTCGAGCCAAGTGCTTTCAGTTATGTAAAAAGTGAGTGGGGGACAACTGCATTTTTTTATATATTAATAATGTTTTGAGGACGGGTTGAAGTCTCATTAGCTGCAGTTTTCTAAACACAGAGTTACTGTGACGTAAGCTACCAGTATTATTAAACTGATTATTTTTCCTATAAACGAGCATTTGATTTCGAGCGGTTGGTGCTCCTGAACATACTATTCGGACTTACAGAGCGACCTTCCTGAAGAGTTTCCGGGAGTTCGAGGCGTCTAGTCCCAGCAGGGCTTTCTTGTACTTGGCGTACGTGATCCAGGCGGGCACCTGGTACTCATAGGCGGGCTTGAGGTAGTACAGGGACATCTCCTGGTGGAAGACCGGAGTAAGGGCGCCAGAGACGGGCGGCACGATCCACGCCCAGTCTGCCGGACACCCGCCCCGCTGCTGGTACTCGTTCTCCGCGAACTGCATGAAAGACTCCGCCGCTGTATAGTGATCCATCAGGGTCACGTTTGCCTCCTGAAGCATACACGGACATATTTAGTAGACCAGAGGATTTTGAGATTACATACAGAATTATTTTGAGACTTTGATTACCATTTATTCTGCATGATTTGTTGAGCCTTTCATACCCCTAATTCGTTCCATGTATTCAGTTTTACAGTAGATCAATGTTTCTGAAATACTAAATACATGGAAGGAAGTAGGGTATGAAAGCCTTAACTATGCAGAAAGAATGGTACGAAAGCCATACTTAAACTGGAAGCAGGATAACGAAGACACAATCCCATTTTAAATACAAAATTCTTGTAACTAAATAAAATACATTGGAGGAACGCCTGAAATCAACACGAGCGAAGACCAAACCAGTGGTAACAAGAAGACGTACAGAATCAATACAACAGCCCGAAAGGAGGGTGTAGGAACTCATATAACTCGAAGGAGAGAGTCAAGGACCCATCACTTACTTTGTAGGAGTGCAGAACAGCGTGGTGAACTTCAAGAACAGCTGCGTCCTTCCAGAGCGTGATATTAGACCTGGTGTCCAGACCCATTTTCTCGCCTACGACCTGTGTAAGAATTTGTAGCTATAAGCCATCCAGAGTGTCTCGATAACACATTGTATGTTATTGCATTAAAACATAACCAAACCTTTCAATACCAATAAGAACAATCAATACTTATCAAAACTAGAATAATGATGGCATTTATACTTTTCATGACCACGGTGCAAATATTATTTATGAAGTGGACATTATTATAATCGGAAGGTGACATTATCATTCAGCTATAGCAGTCAGCATGATTAGTTACTACACGAGGTAAAATTGCCACTCGGATAACAAATTTTATTTTATTTGGAAAGCCAATTCCTCGTACTCGGTATGTTAAATGGTCATTTTCTTGGATGAAATTTATGTATTTATACAAACAATATCAATCAATAGTATATAAATTCGTCCAATCAAGACTATTTTACGGAAATTTTCCGAAAAATAAAATTCAATTGAAAAAATATAGAAAGGTATTAGAGGTATGATTATCAAATCTATTAGATGGGACAACAACGAAAGCCTTAGTGAGGTCAAGGTACCCTCAGTAAATTTTGTCAATCCTTAGACCAAAAACTCTACCCATATATCTAACTTGAAAATCGGCAACAGCAAATATTTTTCTAACTTTATAGGCCTGTATTCTCGAATTTAACTAGTATGACCACCAACTGGAGCGCTCTACCATCCCCTGATCGCTCGCGCTGGGAGCCAACTCTCTCCTCCACGAACTACTCGTCCTCCAAAGCAGAGTGAATTGGATGTCATGGATTTCATCAGGAACGGTGAGACGACGTTGAGAGACGCATCTAGAGGAGGTAGTGAGAGACACACCTGGAGGAGGAAGTGAGAGACACACCTGGAGAAGGAATTGAGGGACGCACCTGGAGGATGTTGTATCGCTGAGAGTCACACAGGTCCCTGGCCGCCACCTCGGTGGACATGTACCAGCCGTTGAAGGGGGCAGCGGTGAACTCCACGCCTCCACAGTCGAACATCATGGACGACACCGCAGGCAAAGCGAACCACTGCAGCTCCAGCTCCTTAAACCACTCAAACCTATCCAAGGACTTAAGTCAATTCCAGTGATGGCTTACCCCCACTAGTGGCGGCTTACACTGTTATTGGTCACTTTTGTGGCCTACCTCATTGGCTATTGTTTACCCTTACGAGGTAAACAATAGCCAATTATAAGTGACTCAAGACAAACTCGCCCCCTGATCACGAGAGACAAAAGGAATCCAGGACACCCACCTGGGATGGTGAAGGGAGACACGAAGCACCAGGTCGTCGGGGATAGGGAAGAACTGAGGTTCTCCCGTAGCTGCAGACAACACCAGAGGCAGCACGTCAAACCTGCCTCCGCCGCCTTTCCACCCGAGGCCCTCGCATATCTGCCTCACACGTGGAACGTATTAGTCAGATGTTACTAATAATAGCCAAGGCCCTTTCCCCTAACACACCTGAATAGATACAACGCCCACGAGTGAGGTTACCTGAGTGAAGGTGACGTACGCAGGGTCTCCCGTGACGGTGCCGTCGGGGTTGGCGTAGCCGGCGAAGCTGATGAGCTGTTGGTTCCACACCCGGAAGTCTGGCTTCCCTGGCCGCCGCTGAGGGAACACCGTGATCACCGACCTGCAGGAGGAGCGCCAGGCACGTCTATAACTTCTACCGACATTATGACCTCGTCACTTACCCCGTCCACTCCCCGTCCATATACAGTGCATGCAAAAACAAATTCTGGGGCAGGATAGGTTGGGTTAGAATAGGATAGGTAGGTTAGGTTAGCTTAGGATAGGTTAGATTGGGGTAGGTTAGGTTTGTTTATAAAGTAGCATTGGCATTGAGGCAAACATATCTTTCTCATGTCTTAAACTCTACTAGAGGGAAGAGGAGACAAGAGGACCGGTAGCTATGTTCTCGCTTTCCAGTAATTAAAACTATATGTATTTGCCTGAATTTACCTGGTCACCATCTCTAGTGACCTAGAAAGGGACAGGAAGCCAACAGCTTGTCGAAGATCACCCCCGACCCCCACCCAACTATACCTGAGGATATAATCCAGGAGGTAAGCATATTGTTAGGTTAACCTGGATTAGATTGTACAAAGTTGGATTAGGTTTAGATGATTTTGAAATGAACAGGATAATCCGGTGGTAAATCTTTTGTATACGAAATTACCCGTATTCATATACCAATGAATGCAGTCAAATATCTCTCAGTCGTATCGCATATAGATCGTTTTCTACTTTTTAAAACTGTATATATATCGTTGATTTAGGTTCTGTTGCTTGTGGTTAGAGTGTAGTTTATTGGGTTAGAATTGGTTGATTATTTAGGGATAATGACAGGTACATCCGGAAAGTTGTTTATGAGGTACAAGAATACCTCATAAACTTTGACCAATACTATGAGGTTCTATGGCACCTGCTAGTATAGGTCAACGGGCCTGATGCACTTCTTTCAATTTTTTATGTTTTTATTATGTTGAATTTTTATGTAAGTAAGGATCGCCATCCATTGACGATCCGCTTTAAGTCCAGGGTGGGTTGTGCATGGTTTCCCGTTATCAGGGACAGGAAGCCTGTACTTAGACTTATCCAGGTCCCTTCCTTTGGCCAATTTCCGACCTTCCTGAGGATGCAACCGACAACAGTTGTCAAGCTCTCTGGTTTCCTATTTAGTGCTAGGTGAACAGTGCCCAACTGTCTCTGTCCTGCCCGGTAATTGAACCGAAACCCTCGGTTGTGCGCCGACAGATGTGTAGATCACTACGCCACAGGACCCATGCAAGGGAAAAAGAGACCACCATATATTGTAATGTCCCTTTCGAATATCGTAGTGTGTCTCTCTCGAATATCGTAGTGTGTGTCTCTCGAATATCGTAGTGTGTCTCTCTCGAATATCGTAGTGTGTCTCTCTCGAATATCGTAGTGTGTCTCTCTCGAATATCGTAGTGTGTCTCTCTCGAATATCGTAGTGTGTCTCTCTCGAATATCGTAGTGTGTGTCTCTCGAATATCGTAGTCTCTCTCGAATATCGTATTGTGTCTCTCTCGAATATCGTATTGTGTCTCTCTCAAATATCGTATTGTGCCTCTCTCTCGAATATCGTATTATGTCTCTCGAATATCGTAGTGTTTCTCTCGAATATCGTAGTGTCTCTCTCTCTCGAATATCGTAGTGCGTGTCTCTTTCGAATATCATGGTGTGTCTCTTGAATATTGAACTCTGATATCATCATATATCTGCTGAAACATAATGATATCAGATACGCACATAGAGACAACTCACATGCGTCATGGGAACGTCAGGATGTCTCCACACTGTTAAACAATCCGGTGAGCTTATACTGACGTGTACCTATATTCTGGCGGGTACACCAACGTCAACAGGCAGGATGGAAGATAATGATTAAATGGCAGACACACAAAAGGAGAGGGAAACCCACCTGATGTTGCCGTCATTTGTACCGTACTTTAGGTGTCTACAGATTGCTGCAAACATTTCTTGGGGCGTTGTGACATCTCGTGCATCAAACACCTGAAAATTAAGAAGAGATGTGTGATTATACATATCTATATATAATACACTCTCTCTCTCTCTCTCTCTCTCTCTCTCTCTCTCTCTCTCTCTCTCTCTCTCTCTCTCTCTCTCTCTCTCTCTCTCTCTCTCCATATTACCTTCAGTCTGGTCCAGTTAATCCTGCCGATACATCGCGGGGCGTTCCTCCAGGCCAACTTAGCGCCGTATTCCATCTCCTCTAAAGTCAGGTGGTAAGTTCCCCGAGCCAGGACGCTCGCCTCCACCTCCTTCCAGCGGCCTGTGTGTTCCTCACTCGACAACCTGTTAAACCCAGAGCTCTGTTACATGGTATTTCTCTCAGCTCCTCCAGCACGTTATACTTGCCTCACCACACTACTTCTCTCAGCTCCTCAGTCTACATGTCACATGCATTAACGCTCTTCCTCGCCTGCTTCTTATATCCCCTGTGCCTGATCTTAACATTCCTCAGCGTGGGAGTGCCGTCGTGGTTGAGGCGTCTAGCAACATAATGGTAAATACTAGAGAAACAAGGGACAAATGAGCCCAGCTTGTTGTGATGTTGCAATACCCTCAGTAAGAGAATAACTATGGCAGGACACCGTCTACTTTCCCGAGATATAATAATGTATTTCTTATTTCTTTTTACGTGTAAATGAGATTAGGTTTTGTTTATGTGGATGGTTATTTTTGTGTGTAAGTAATACGCAATGGATTAATGATTTTTCATTTTTTTCATGATTTAGGCTCTATAGTGGATGGCTCAATGCTTGTTTTCTAAGTAGGTCTCTCATGGAGCGAAAGTAGTTAAATTATTAGCTAAATCACTGTGGCTATTATTGCACACACACACACGATTTTCATCATTTTCACGATGAAAATTTGCCACAATGAAAACCAACACTTACTTTTTCATGGAAGTGTAGTAGTCATCTAAGAACTCCTTGGCCTGGGTGAGGACCTCCGCGGGAGGCCGAGGCGTCGTGGCCATTCTCCTGATGTTCATTAACGAGCCATTGCACACCTGCTCCGTGCACTCACCTTGCTGAAAATACAATTGAAGTACTTAGGTGTGTCCATAACATGTAGGTTATGGACTAAAACGATAGGCTACCTCTTGCTAGTTTTGCAACGCAATGAAATCGAAATAAACGTCAATTAATCTCACTGATGATTATAAGCAGCAAGCGTGTGTACTTCAACACCTGAATTTTTTGTGTGTGTTCCAGTTTACTTATTTTCAAAACGTTACGGTAAACCGTATCAATAAGTTCGAGAACCATAGGAGGATTTTTTTTAATGCTCTGTGCGGCTCCTTGGTCAATATAGAGGTGTCATCATCATTGCAAGTAAATGTAAATAATTATTTTAACTATGCCTTTCATCACTCAAAATCAATTTGTGTTAATTCAGAACAAGTATGTTTTGTTGCCAGAGCCATAGAATATATTATCATACTGCACGGTTAGGTGATCGCTTGGCAAGAACACTCTGGAAGCCTTATTCACTCTTGTTTCCACTTTGTGTATGATTACACATTGTGTCCAGCCTGTGATAGAATAAAATAAAGTTAAAAATAATCTATGTTATGCTGCTGGGTTCAGGAGCTGGAGTTCACTCCATGAGAGGAGTGTTGTGTACAGAGGTTGTAACAAACTTTGGGAATTGCAACGTCGTTGTTTGTAATTTTATATTGTGAAATTGTTTAGTCGTATAGAGATACATCTAAACTCACTTTGGATGAAAGGGCAAATCAACTTATAACAAATGATAAAATATCTGAAATTCTTGCAATTCTGGGAGGTGCGTGTTGGCATGCCTAACCCCGGCGCGTCTCACCGTTTAGTCAGCATTGAGAGAAACAAAATCCTATAAATGGCGTAAAATAAAAGCTTATAAATGGCGTGAAACAAAAGCTCACAAAGACATGAAACGAAAGCCTATAAATGGCGTGAAATAAAAGCTCACACTGGCGTGAAACAGCAAACCAATTTTTAAGAGTCACGCAGGACAAAAGACCAACCTCAAAATTGACCTTCAAGGTAAACTGACCGCCCGGTTGTCATGGCAAGTAGTTCCGGACGTGCCTCCGGAGCCTCTCGGGGACTCCACACCTGCTGGACACTAAACTATTTTATATACCTGACTTTACCAAACTGCTCATAGCTTTATATAGTTTAATTCCTTGTAGGTTTTAACAATTGTGTATACCTGACTTTACCAAACTGCTCATAGCTTTCTATAATTTAATGTCTTATAATTTTTTAGAATTTGAAAGTTTTTGTTAGCAAAAATATTATCGCATTTCTCATCATTTTGTCGAAAATGTTTGTTCATTGATGTTAGCTGTTTTTGATGATTGAAAATAAGTAACTTTACCAAACTAAACCCTAATCTTGATCTAACCTAACCCAACTTAATGTAAACCAAACCAAATTTATGCTAACCAAGTCTAACCACACCTTTTAAAGTATCTAAATTGCCGTCAACTACGTTATCGAACAGATTTATATAGTAACGTCCGATGCCAAAATCGCATAATTTATGCAAAATTATGTATCATGAATCTCAAGTGCTTCAGATGTCTTTGATGAAGCTTGTTTCTTCAGCAGACATGTTACTTCCCCTGTAGACACTGAGGGTTAAGTACTGATAAACTATTACAACGTAAGAGAGTCGTCAAGACTTTCCAATCGTGTTGTGCAGGAAGCCTCACGTTTATTGTGCAGGAAGCCTCCTGTACGTTGTGCAGGAAGCCTCGTGTGTACAGAGATAGCCTCGCGTGTATTGCTCACATCCTCTGCTCCGCTTAGTAGCATAGATGTGATGATATTTACCCGCAGAGAAACCCCCTCGGAGTGGCGCTTAATTTATGCTGTAAAAAATATTTCCGGTCTTTCTATTTCGAAATTACTGAGCGAGCTTAGAATTGTGAAAATGTTCAGTGCTTCAGTAACAGCTCTCCACAATTGGGGCTACAGTCGCACCCTTCCAAATTGGGATTACAATCACACCCTTACAAATTTGGGCTACAGTCACACCCCTCCACAATTAGAACTACAATCACACCCCTCCAAAATGTGTACCAAAGTCGCAGCTTTCACACAATGCTGAGAATGCCCAACTTTAACGCCTTAATGAATACATGAGAAGAGGGATAACTTAGCTCCTCCTCACATTCCTTTAGGACCATGGCAAACACCTCACCAGGGACTTGACTGACTGATTTTTCGAATAGTTTATGATATCTGTTCGCTAAAATGTTTTACTCACAATCTTAAACAATTAGAATAGAAACAGACAAATTGTGGGGTTGTTAACAATTGTATCATGCCCTTCATACTCTCAAACCTATGGGTCTTGGTAATATCCGTGCGTAATCATTTGGTTATACAAATACTGGTCTTGGGAGTTGAGAGACATTGGTCCTGTTTTAATTAAGGCTTCAAAGAACATTTTTTGAAGGATAATTTCACAAAACCAAAATTGTACTGTGCATGATTTTTGGCAGAGTTTTATAATGTATAGTCACATGTTGAGTCGTACTTGAGTACTGGTGGTGATTTTATGGTGGTCGTTTCTGTACCCTAATTCTGCCTGCGAAGTGGCCCCCTTTCCCCTGAAATGACTCAACCTACCTGATTGGTTGATGAAGAATAAGCCACCCAAGAGGTGGCACAGGCATAAATATACTTTGTGATAGATTGGTTGATTGGTAAAAAGTGGTAGATTTTTTAGAGTGAATGTGATCTTTGATCGTGAATCAACTTACCTATTTTGTCACCGTACCTGAGGAGCAGAGTTGTAGCAGAGGTGTATATACCTGTCACTAGTACGCAGGCAGGTGTAGTAGTGGAAGCTGCATGTGTCTAAACATACCTGTGAGGCGTGCACCTGTAGAGAGTCACAGTACTCCTTCCCGTAGGCGAAATTAGCCAGCCGTCGGGGCTTCGACATCTTTCCCTCCATCTCTGTGGGTAATTTAAACATTCATTTTAACTCTTAATGATTATTCCAAGACTTAACTTTAAATTTCCTGAAAATTCTTTTTTTTATTATTTAATATACATTTTCATAGTAATTAACGTGTTTTTGTTCTCGTTATCTTATCCCTATTTATAATCTTTGGATAATAATTTGCATGTTTATATTCTTCGTGAGCCTCAGTTGCTGCTCTTGGGTCGGTGTTGTGGAGCAGTGAGGGGAGGGAGAGAGGCAGGAAAGGGAGAGAGGGAAGGACAGAGGCAGGGAGGGAGAGAGAGAGAGAGAGAGAGAGAGAGAGAGGGTGAGAGGCAAGGGGAGAGTTAGGGGGAAGAAGGTAATTATCTCTGAATACATCTTTTCCTAAAAAAAATTTTTTTTAACTCGATTAGTTTTTAGGTTTTCAACATAACGTCCTCAATTGTCTTTTTATTATACATATTATTTGTCCACTTTCTTCATCTCCGTCCACTCTTTGTATTTTGCCACTTCTAACTTTGACCATCTGTCGCAAAGACAATAGGTTGTCATTACTTATGGTGGAGATCCACCCCATGCAATAGGTCTCCACCCCATGCAATAGGTCTCCTCCCCATGCAATAGGTCTCCTCCCCATGCAATAGGTCTCCACCCCATGCAATAGGTCTCCTCCCCATGCAATAGGTCTCCACCCCATGCAATAGGTCTCCTCCCCATGCAATAGGTCTCCTCCCCATGCAATAGGTCTCCTCCCCATGCAATAGGTCTCCACCCCATGCAATAGGTCTCCTCCCCATGCAATAGGTCTCCACCCCATGCAATAGGTCTCCATCCCATGCAATAGGTCTCCTCCCCATGCAATAGGTCTCCTCCCCATGCAATAGGTCTCCACCCTATGCAATAGGTCTCCTCCCCATGCAATAGGTCTCCATCCCATGCAATAGGTCTCCTCCCCATGCAATAGGTCTCCACCCCCATGCAATAGGTCTCCATCCCCATGCAATAGGTCTCCACCCCCATGCAATAGGTCTCCACCCCCATGCAATAGGTCTCCACCCCATGCAATTGACCTTGAACACTGAATTACCCAATATACATACTGTACACATTCACTATACTGACCAAACCATCATGGCCACCCGTCCTAGCAGAGAAGCAGTATAACTTAAAATATAACATCAATAGTTGGGTTTCCTTGACGTATAGATTGGAACAGGAACAGTTGAGAGGAAATCCTTAGGATTTTATCACATTTTTAACAAGATATTCAGAGATAGAGTCTCATTTTCTTCAAGGATAACCTCAGTTAAGAACCCCTTACTGAGTAAGAATACAGAACTATCCTTAACTCCTATTCCCCCCTCCAGTTCAGCTAAATCAACCGCTGCATCAGCTTATACAGTAGTAATAAACTCTTCCCATTTAAGACCTCATCACTATGTCTTGCCTTCCTGACAGCCTGCTCAAGTTCAAGTACGTTTATTGAGACAATAAAATACATCTCAAAGGGATAGAGTAGTTTAGGCTATTTCTACCCTCCAACAGCTTGTCCAGTCCCACTGAGCGCTTATCATCTGGCCCTTCCGGATCCACTTTCACCTCTAGACCAGCACAATCAACCTTCAATCCAGCTAAGAATATTACAGTTGCAATTTCTATAAAATAGAGGAAATGAAGCCCCTCTTAACTGACCTTATACCCTCTGAAGTTAACACCTTCCGCCAAGGAAGCGAGGCTTCCAATGATAACCAATTTAGGAAAAGTTGTGGGAATCACAGTACAAATGGTGAAGAATCTCACGACGTCAGCCCAAACTTAACCTTCAGCGCCTTGAGGTAACACAAAACAATGCCATGCGATTGTATGTGACGCCCTGTGTTCAACCCTGATCCTCGGCCTTCAGGGTGACACAGGCCTCACAAGTCTAGCCACCAGACGAGACAAAATGTGTGTCAACTATCCGTCACTCCGGATCACCCAACACAACCATACAGATCAAAAATTAACCCAACAGTTCACCCACATAACCATCCTTTACACGGCAGCCAATAGCAACAATTCCAGATTCGTGTCACAAATAACCTTAGTACAAACTTATATATACCAAAACTATGAAATCCAATTTATTGTCCCCACCATATTCCCCCTTGGTATTACGTAACTCCTTAAACATCAGCACTAGAAGGCAACATACCAAAGTCTGCACCGAAATCAACCAAAGCTTCAACCTTTGCCTCCACAGTGGAAAGCTGCTACCACAATATCAAAGCAATATACACAGATGGGTCTTATGTTCCTACTAAACAATGAAACCTGTCACTAGTACCGTATGAATCCCGTTATCCATATTAACAGCTGAATTATGTGCCATACACCAAGCTCTACAAATCATCCCAACACTACCAGCTTGGAAATACACTCTCTCTAGTGACTTCAAAAGTGCGATGCAGGCAATTACAACTACACCAAAACGTGCAAAGAGCTCGTTCACCCATGCCTTCAATTTCTCCATGAACATCATATAAATGTATATGACATTTCCATCCAATGGGTCCCACACACTCCCCGTAATGAGCTTGTAGATGGACTAGCAAAAGCAATGCACGATACAACTCACATCATTCAATTTTCCATATTGCACGAAAATCAGCCTTAAAAGTGGCCATCACACAAGATTACTGAGCTTAACAATATTTGGTTAAGCCACTGTGAGCAATAAATGGATCGCTCGTTAAACTTGTCGTGTGAGAGAGGAGTCGCCGCCTTACCTGTGCTACGGGAGACGTCAACACTGATACTGACTTCATACCTTCAACACATTCTTGAGACCAACGCCTGCAGAGGTGGAACAAGGACAAGAAGGTTCTTTTCGTACCCTCCCTTCCCCTCCTCCCTTCCCCCCCTCCCTTCCCCTTCCCTACCCATCGCTACCTCCGCCCTCAACCCTTCCTCTACCCAACGAATTTTATTCAACTCCTCAATAATACACGCCACCACCTCCCCATACCACCTCCCCATACCACCTCAAATGCGCCCTCTTCCCCTCCCACCCTCCTACACACTCTCTAAGGCTCCATCACATACAATATGTTTTAAATGAACAAATCCACAAGGGCCGTGACGAGGATTCGAACTTGCGTCCGAGAGCATCCCTTCCTTGTGGATTTGCATCCCGGCCCTTGTGGATTTGTTCATTTGATGCATCACGCAATTGTGATTTCTGTGTGCAGTATGTTGTTGTTGTTTAAGATTCGATGCTTGGAACAAAAAGTTCCAAGTAGCACGGGCTATGGTGAGCCCGTTGTGGACTTACCTGGCACAGGAGCGGGGCTGACATACAATAAATCTCCACCCTATACATAGTTCTCACTCTCATACGTTAGGTATACACCATAATCAACATACAAAATACTTTGACAAGGACAGATGATTCAGCACACGAATACTGGGACACGTAGGAAAAATAAGTTCCCAAGTGAGTCATTGAAACATAAGGAGAAAATAATTCAGAGTCAGGATAATGAAAGAATGAAATGAGTTAAGAATGTTTAAGACAAACGTCATTCACAGCTTTAAATACAGATATGACAAACCTAAAAAGGGCCTGGAACCTACACTAATCTATTTAAGGGTTGAGAAGAGGGAACCCATGACCGTAGCTTGCGCCCTGCAAGTACAACTAAGCGAGCACACATAAATAAAATATAAACTGCCCCTGGAGAGCTGAATATGGACTCATTCAGTTAGTCTCATGCACCGTCTGTCAGAATAAATCTGGAATCTGCAACACCTGCTTGGAGTCTTTATCATGTGAAACACAGAATGATGATGGAGAAAATCCAGAGGTTTTCCACCAGACTAGTCACAAAATTTTGGGGTATGAGTTACTTGGAAAGACTAATGGAAAGACTGTGTTGATATTTATATGAGTACCTTTATACACTGAATTTATATATATATATATATATATATATATATATATATATATATATATATATATATATATACATAATACACACACACACACACACATATATAAATGTATGTGTGTGTGACAGGAAACAAATCAATGGGAAAAGACAGAACACGAAACAATGGGTATATACAGGATATATGGATATATAATCACAGGTGTACAATTTATTTGCTTGCTTCTGTGCTGTTTCGTGTTTTTGACGTGGGTAGAATGTAATTATGTGTTAAATGGCTGTTGATTGCTGGTTTTGACTTTTTGATGTGTAGGGCCTCGCTGATGTCGAGTCTCCTGTTATCGTTGTATCTGTCGATAATTTCTGTGTTGCTTGTTAATTTCTGTGATTTCTTCGGTGATGGTCTGGTTGTGTGAGGAGATTATATGCTCCTTGATGGAGTTCTGTTGTTTATGCATTGTTAATCGCCTAGAAAAAGGTCTTGTTGTCTTGCCTATATACGACGTTGGTTTCTTTCAAGGCGTTCTATATATGTATATATATATATATATATATATATATATATATATATATATATATATATATATATATATATATATATATATATATATAAAGTTGTGAGGGGTACCACCTCGATCTGGTGCAAATGTGAGGACCCATAGCCTCGGAGAAGAAAATAAGGAGTATTCAGAGAAGACCTTGTGGATTCTCACTGAATACTTTAATATTTTCTTTCCTACCACCCCCATTATTTTGTATGTACACTTATATGTTTGTTTTATTTAAACTGCGTTACAAAAAAGGAGTTACATATACGGTACAAAGATGATTATTACAAGTTGTCGAGTTCCTCCAGCTCCTCAGATGGCGGGCAGGTACCCTGAATGCAGTGTGCATTTCCCCTCTGCTATATATATTCAACTTAGCTGGAATCCGAAGGAATAAAATTAGCTGAGGTAGATTTTCAGCGACAGTTAAAAGAAGTTACTACAGTTAACGTTAACATAAAAAGTGTCATTTATAATATAGTTCGTTATTTCACTTACGTCAGGTCTTTATTTCGACATTCCTTATGCACATATTC